AGAGTAATCCCAACTATAAATGCAAATTAATGAAAGAATTTGTTAACAAATTATAACTTGGGATAGAGTTAAAAGATGATACTGAAAGACTTGATGCATATATATATATATATATATATATATATAGATACCTATCGACAGCTTGGGTGAAGAGGGTGAGTTCATCAAGTGTCCCATAAACATCAAAAATGTCGTCAATCATATAGATTAAGGAAATGGGTTTTGTGAGATCAATCCGTTGCTCTGACAAGCTTGGATCAGGGAGGCAAGCCAGGGACCAAAGATACCATTTCGCTGGTTGGTCTCTGGCAAACTCCAACTCCTTAGCTAAACCCAGCTCCTTCCACCAACTAAACATTCGTCAAACATACAAGAAAATTAGAGTTGGCGATTTTTGGGACAATAGAGAAAGCTTTTAGTTGTGTCCATATATACTAATATAAATCTTACTGGGAAATCCGAACTATTTCTTCCTGATGCAAGGACTGGACCATATTGAAATCCATTTTTGCTAGTTCTTGGAGGATATTTATCCATCCATTTGTGCCTTGGAAATCAGTAAGCAAGTTTCTGGCTGTGAATCTTGATAGGCTTTTATGATAAGGTTGGTCCAGTGTATTCGTTATAACTCTACCAGAAAACGGTCCACTTCTGAAGTTCGCCATTTTTTCAGGACGTGGGAAGTAAATTTTCTGGCTTCATCAAGAATATCTTCTCCATCTATTCCCAGTTGTGAAGCTTCATACAATTCAATCAATCCTTTGATGTCCCTGCCTAGTTCATCTCTGAATCTGCCCTCCCTGTCTTTGAACCTGTTAAACACTCCTGCTTAATATGAAAACCATTTCCATAGGTTAATTAACAGAACAAAAAAATACGCTGTCTACAAAAAGGCTTGAATTTGCACTTCTCACCCACCTGCTGGGACAAAGTGACCTTCTTGTCTAAGTAGTCGAAATCGAAGGGCAACCTCATGAAGATCATAATCATGAACACCATTAGTGCAAGAAAGCATATGGTACTACTTTTGCAGAACTTTTTCAATGTCATGTTGAAAATGGTGGTCGAGGCCTAGGCGCTGGATTGCATCAATCATGGCCAAACCATCAAATGGATCTTCACAAAGTTCTCTGAATATACGCTTGAATGCCGCCAATTTGTTTGCATGCACAATGCGAAATTTATCCTGCAAGACAATAAAGGTGACAAAATAAGCTTATGGGATAAAGGGGTCAAAAAGAAATAAAGGGCTGAAACAGGGCAAGATCTTATATATAAACAAACTCACTGTAATGGTGGGGTGTGCGTTTCGATTATCAAAGTGTTGATGAGCAACGCTGCATCTGGGAATCATAGGCAATGAAGTAGGAGCAATAAGGTTGGAATTGTTAATAATTCGTGAAGTTTTGTTAGTAGAAATTGGAGCATACGGGGACGAGAACAAAACGTTGGAAAACAACGCCATGGAGACTGTTTCTTGAATTGCTTATGGTTTGATTACGTATTTCAGGTCTCTATTTCAGAGGATTCAATGTTGAGATACAACGTCACGAGGCAAATATATAGATTCTTGATTTTTTTATTGCAAAAAAAAAAAAAAAAAAATCTCTAATCAAACTCATTGTATATGACTTTTGCCCACCGATAAAATTAAAATTATTGTTCGTCAATTAATTTGATAATTTAAAATATGATATAATAATGTTATATAAATATAATATAAAAATAAAAATAAAACATAATATAATTTAAAATTATAAAAATAATTATATATAAATTTAATAAAATAAAAAAAAATTATATTTTATATTTTTATATTAATATAAATTATAATATTTATAGTTAATATAAAACATGATACAAATATATTAATTTTATTAGTCACCATTTTTGTCTGGAATTAAAAAAATATCATGGCAAAACAAAATGTGCGGTGCTCAGAATTTGATGGAACTACTCATGAATGCGTACAAAATAATTGACTTTAATTAGGATATTCAAATTTTGATTTTAATTTAATTAATTGATTGATCATTAAATTAATTTTGATTAATTAAAAAATAATTTTAGTTTTAATTAATTTAACTTAAAATTAATTTAATTAAAAATTTAATAGAAATATAATAAAATCTAAATATAAAACGAAAAATACATAATATATATCATATTATTTTTTAAATTGTTAAAGTTTTTAATGTAATATTTTATATTTAAATATTTTGTTGAATAATTTTATTTAATTTATTTAAAATATAAAAAATTTAAAATATAATATAATTCAAATAATTTATTATTTGATTAATTAAAAAAATTAATCAAATTGATAAATTAACTTTGATTAATTAATTTTAAAAATTAATAAATTTATTCAATTAATAAAAATAGTTTAATTAATTTAATTAAATTTTAAATTAATAAAGTTGATCAAATAAATACCTTTAAATTTAATAATTAATCTTAAATCATGAATCAATTTAGATTGATAAAAACAAATGTATACGGAACTACTAAATGAATGTGTGGGTCAGCACAGCTTGAAGTTTTTTAGCCATATTGGTTAACTGATCCTGACTCATCAAGGAAGATAAATTGACACTCAAAACAACAAATAAAAATGCCAAACCATGGGCGGAAAGCCTGTCAGAAGCCAAGCTGCAACATTGAAACACTATAACGATTTTCATGCCTTCTAAGCTGTAATTGAAGATATTATATGCGAGACAATTAATGTGATGTGACTCAAGAGGCTAATAAAATTGACAATTTTGTATTAAAATATATTATATAATAGAGTTTATGATATCAGTTTTTGAAAAAAATAATATTACGAGACAATCAAAAACATTGGAAAACCTGAGAGAATAGAGAAAATTCGAAAACTAGATTTACAATCTATTTTTAATTTAAAGAACATTCAGACGTAATATTTCAATCTATATCTCTAATTTTAAGTGAGAGAATAATATTATTAGGTTAAGTCCAGACTATTGCTTTAATTTCAAAGTTTGTGTACGATAGGATCATATGATTATATGAGACGAGTTCAAGAGCTGAAAGTAAAAGTGAAGATGATGCTAACCAACGTAGAAGGGCTATTCGATCAACTTGAATTGATAGACAACTTGCAGAGGCTTGGTGGCATATCATTTTGATGATTAAATTAACAACATATGAGGGGGCATCTACAAGAACAACTGCTTTGGAATTTAGGCTCCTCAGGGAACATGGATATCATTCTTCTCCAGATATGAAATGATGTGTTTAATTATATATGATTCACGTGTATAAGACTTTGTAATAAGTGGTTTTGCTAGAGTGTAGATGTTTTTGGCAGTTTTAGGGACAAGACATGCAATTTCAAGCTATCTCTCTGTGATGATATCATGGCAATGCTTAACTTATATGAAACTTCATACTACTGTTTTGAAGGAGAAAGCACCACGGAGGCAACTTGGCACTTCATGTCTTGGAGAGAAATCGAGCTTTGCTAGGAATAGGTTGGTCGAATCCTTCTTATGGACAGTGGGAATTGCTTTCAAGCCTCAGCTTGGAAGCTTCCGGAAAATTCATACAAAGGCCATTGCACTAATCACAATGATAGATGATATTTATGACGTCTATAGTACCTTGGATGAACTTGAGCTCTTCACTGATGCTGTTGAGAGGTTGGTGGGAAAATGTTCTGGCATCTATAGTGCCTTGTTACTTTCCAAGAGGGAATTAATTGACTTCTTTCTCTTTTCTACACTTTTCAGGTGGGATATTAAAGCAATGAAACGACTTCCGGACCATATGAAAATATGCTTCCTTGCCCTTCACAACACTGTCAATGAGATGATTTACGACATTCTAAAGGAGCAGGGTCATGATGTTGTGTGAATCTTAAAAATGCGGCAATGTATCTTCTCTCGGATAAATGTCATCTGATATCTTATGTGATTCAGATTTAAAATGATATGACAAATTCTCATAAGAACTCTTCCGCTTGCTTATGGCGTCGTCAATGGGTGGATGTACTAGGATCCTACTTGTTGGAAGCAAGATGGTACCGCAGTGGATATACAGCAACTTTGGAAGAGTACATGAAAAATGCCTGGATATCAAATAACAGGGCCTCTAATAGCAATTCAAGCAAGTCTCTTTCACAAATCGAATAAACCAGAAGGAATTAGAATTCTTGGAAAGCTACCCAGATATATTTTATTGGTGATCCGTGATTTTTTGACTTCAAGATGATTTAGGAACTTCATCGGCATGAAAGCTACCAAAATTTAAGAGCTATACCATCAATAAAATTCTTCTTGCTTTAAAAAAAAATAAAATTAAGAGCTTTATAAGATGAACTTAGCTTTCCATCCACTGATCACCTTCACCTGTAATTCAGGACGAGTTGAAGAGAGGTGATATGTTACAAAATCAATCCAATTTTACATGCACGAAAATGGCATCTCTGACGAAGCTGTCCGTGAACATATTTGGAATTTAATGAGGCATGGAAAAAGGTAATTGTGCACCGAGCTGCTGTGTCCCATTATCCCGGATCGTCACTGGAATCGTACTGAATCTTGTGAGGACGGCCCATTGCATTTATCAACGTGAAGATGGACATGTTTCTCAAAACCGCAAGACCAGCTCATGCAATGTCGTTGCTTTTTGATCCAATCCCTTTGTAGAAGAAAAACGTGTCTTTTCTCAATATGGCCGCAGCAGCGAAGATGAATATAGTGTGGGTCAAAGGCGAGTCATGCAAGGTTCAATGCAACAGATGCATTCAATTCCCTCCAGTCTCTGTAACCAGAGACACACTACCATGATTTTCCACATCATTTGTAAGCTGCTAAGCTTATTGATGAAGAGACTTGAGAGTTTCAAAAAGCTTCATAACATAGAAGACAACTTGGGACCATAGGGGTTTAGTTCGGGACCAACTCAAATTGATAAATAATTTTAGCTGTTTTGGTTCCAATTTAAAACCAATATCATTGTACAAGGACAAATTGTTTGATTTCAAAAACTTCAACATTTCTGATCCTTCATTATGATTAGTGCATTGCTGGAAATCTAAAACCTTATGGAGTATCTCTTTTTATGAACAATACAGAGAAAACAAGAATATATTTAACAGAAACAGTAACAAATGAACAGATCCAATCATAAATCAACATGTTCATCCTTTTTTTACATCGATGAAGATACATTTTCCATCTAAGAATCGACAATGAAAATTTAGCATACACCGTTGAGATTAAAATAAATCATTTTAACTATTTTGCGTTCAAGTTAATTCACAAGGTGATCTCAAATACCATATACCTCAATCCTTTTCCGAGCTGAAAATGGAATTTTATACGAGTTATTATCATGAAGACAAGGAATTCAGCTTTTTCTCCAGCATTTTCGCCCTCCGAAGTGCATCCATAGCCTCAGCTTGTTTGCCTGACCTTTTCAAGTTTACTGCCTTGACCTTTTCTGCCTTAATCCGCTCTTCCAATTGGATTCTCTCTTGGTCAACATCTTTTCCTTTGGCAGCATTGGGCTTAACGACTTCTGGTCTTTCTGGGCCACGAGCTAAAACACTAGAATCATCCAATCCAATTGCTTTCAGGGCAGACAAAAGTTGAGGATCGAGAAAATCTTCAACAACTACATCATCTACTCGTAATTCGCCAATGCTAGGAGTTTTTGTTGAATCATGAGTAGCCAACTCTTCCAACTGGGCCTCAAGAGACTTAGCTATTTCAAACTCAGCCTCTGCTTCTTGCATCCGACCTTCTCTTCGCAGCTTCAAAGCCTGGCGCTTATGACTGAGGGATTCCTGTTGCAACTTGAAGCGATCACGCGCAGACAGTGGTCTCGGAGCCAAACTTGATGCATCCTGCCCTTTTGGTGCATCAGAGGGAACAGTGCATGCAGATATTGACACATCATCTGCACCAGGTTTTGGCGGAGTGCCATCTTCTTTCAGGTTCTTCTCCAACAGCTTTGCCTGCTGAAGCTCTTCTCGAGCTTCTGCCAATTTTCCATCTCTCTTCAAAGCAAGTGCCTTCTTCTTGTGAGACAAAACTGCTTGCCTAAGTGAATCTTGGTTGTTCTGAGAAGTAAATCCCTGAACTGAACTCACACCAAGTGCATGTGACTTCTGCTCTCCATTAACCACTCTACTTTTTCCGATGGTATTTTCAACCTTGGTTCTAAGATCTTCTTGGCATGCCAACTGAACATTGGGTCTAGCAAGAGAAGAGAAGTTGGATCCAAGATCACCTTTCTCTTCCAATTTCACAGGTATCTGTGAACTCGACAGGTAATCACCAGTCAACAAATCCACTATGTTTGCAGACTGGTCAGGTGGAGGGATGAAACTGGTAGTCTCAACTTCTCCCTCACCACCTTGAAGTCCCATTGCAGCAGAGAGATCCAACTTTTCCAACGAGTGTTGCTTGTCTTCTAGTGGCCTGGAGGATGCAGGAAATAATAGATCGGAAGTCCACAGGGTAGGATTATCTGTATCACTCCCCATTCTTCCTAAACCCATCGATGATTGTACGACTGTTTCACTTGGTCCCACCTTTACTGCAACTGGCCCTTTCTTTACTATCACTTCATTTTTCAAATTCCCTTGCCTCTCATGGTTAGTAAATGAGTCAAAGTTCACAGATTTATTGTCCTTGGACGAATCAAGCACAAGCTCCCCTTTCGGATCTTCCAATTCTGCCACTTCGGCTTCCAGTACCTTTGCCCTTTGCAACAAGTCCTCAGCCTCTTCGGCTTGCCCATTTCTTCTAAGGGCAAGAGCCTTTCTTTTCAAACCCAGAAGTTCTCTTTGGATTTCACCTTTACTTCTTGGTGGTGAAGCTGAAATGCCTGAAGAGATTTGAGTGACGTGTGGATGGCCAGAATGTAAAGGCTCAGGGGCAAGATTTTTAGAGTGCTTTTCTTGCATGGTTACAGGTTCAAGTTCTTCATCCTTCCAACCCAAATTCTTTAGCATTGAGAGCATAGCTGGATAAGTCATATCATTCTCTGTAACATTCTCTTCATCTGCTTCTTCCCCATCACCTTTGAGGGGAGCTACAGTGGCTTTTTCGTTTGGCCACTTTGATTCAACCACTTTCTTTGGCGCCTCCATTTCTGCCATCTCAGTCTCCAATGCTTTTGCTGTTTCCAGAACTTCCTCTGCCTCATCAGTATTTCCTTGGCGCCTCAGAGAAAGAGCTTTCCTTTTCAAGCCTAATAGCTCCCTCTGTATTTCAGCTTTAGTTCTTCTTGATGCCTTGGCTGGGATTTTAGGAGGGGAATGAGTCAAAGAAGATTCAACAATTTGCTCAGAATCTTTTGGTTTAGAATGTTTCATCAAAGAGTTCGAAAGCTCATCATCATTGTCATTCCAATCTAAGTTCCTCAGGATTGAAAGATATGTTGGATCGTGCATGTCTTGATCTGTAACATCTCCTTCAACCGGCAGGTTTTCTGATACACTAGGATGCTTGTCTGTCAAATCCTTCCCCTTACTGCCAATGGTTACCTGTGCAGCCTTCATGTTGGAAGTATTCTCCATTTCTTCAAGCTGGCGCTCAAGAATCTTGCCTTTCTTCAATTCTTCCTCTGCTTCATCCAATCTTCCTTCCCTTCTCAAGGCAAGGGCTTTCTTCTTCAAACCAAGAAGCTCTTTCTGAATCATCAATCTACTCTTTGGTGCAGGTTTCAGATCCACATCTTTCATAGCATTAACATTGTCATCACCCAACTTAACTGACTTCACTGATATATCAGCAGAGTGAGGAGTTGGTCCATTTAGATTAACTGTCAAATTCTCCAGCTGAGAATTGAAGCTTTCAAGATCCTTCTCAAGTACTTTTGCCTTCTTTAACTGAGCCATTGCCTCCGCCACGTTACCTGCCCGCTTTTGACTAAGAGCCTCTCTTTTTAATGAAAGAATTTCACTTAATAGTGCCTCCCTGTTAAGAGGTGCAGACTGAGCCATAACATCTTCAGTAGGATTAGAATCCTCAGTCCAACCTAGTGATTTCAGAGCAGCAGCTATTTCCGGATCCTCCATATCCTTATCAGTTACTTCAAAATTACTATCAATAACAAGATCATCAGCAGTTCCTACAAGTTGATCAAAGTCAAAGCCTTGTGTATGCTCATATTGAATTAACATTTCATCTTGTTTATCATTGTCCATGCTATAGATTATTGCAGATAGCTCATCATCAGAATGTTCAGCTCCAGCCAATAGTTCTTGTTCTTCGAGTTGCTTCTCTAAGACTTTAGCCCTCTTCAGTTCTTCCTTTGCTTCGGCAAGCTTCCCTTCACGCTTCAACATAAGAGCCTTTTTCTTAATGACAATAACCTGGGTCTTGTCAGTGTCATGACTGTTAACCTTCTTTGGCATTTCTCCTAGAAGGGAAGAGAGTTCACCCTCCAAACTCAGACTTGCGGATCTTTTATTGTCATCATGTAGATCCATATCAGACCACCCCAAGTCCCTGAGTTCAGCAGCCAGGTCATCCTTACCCACTTGATGAGGGACCTTATTTTTTCTGCCAGATTCTTTAGGGGCATCTTTGTTCTGGATCTCCGACATATTGCCAGATGGCAAACTTTTTTTACGGTTTTTTCTTATATATATCTCCAAAGACTCGGCCTGCCTCTCTAGCTCCTTGCCTCTCTTAAAGGCTCTTAGAGCTTCCTCAGGTTTCCCTTCTCCTTTTAGAATTTTATACTTCCCTTTTTCAATCAATGCTTGCTGGCGCAATTCCTCAGGACTGGACAATACCATATCATTCTGCATACGCTGATCAACAGACTGACTTCTAAGTATTTCTCCACCCCCATCATGATTGGAACCTACTTGAAGATTGGAGCACGAAGCACTGCTAGTTGCCCTTCGAACACTAGGAGTCATGTCATTGTTGGAAGCTACTCCTAATGAAGAGGATTCATTTCTGTCAGCACCTAGAATCTGGTTCAACATATCATCCTCATCCCTTGCAGCTGGTTTCAAACTACCTGCAAAAAGCGGCTAAGCCATTTAATATTGAGGGTAAAATCCCCTGTTGTTTCATAGTGATAACTGACATACATGAGCAAACAAACAAGTGAACCTTATACAAACTTATGTATACAAATTTTAATTTAATGCGACCATAAATTAGTTATACAAGGAGGACACCAAATAAACCTGAAACTCATCTTTCTAATACCAACCCATATATACAAAATGAAAACAAAGTAAGACAATAGTATCAGTGACTAAGTGCACTACACAGTTAAAAATGAATCCTTTAGGCAATAACCAAGAAAAAATATTGATACCTCTCCCAGCTCTACTTTTGTACCCATGGCGCAACTCAAATCGTGCGGCCTCTTCTAGTGTTTTACAAGGTTCACAAATACGCACAGGTGAATCACCCTGTCCACGCAAAACCATTCTTTGCTGTGTACAAGTACCGCAAAACAGGCCCCCACACCTTCGGCAGTGATGCTGATAATCCATAGTAAAAATAACATCAATAACTACAACAATTATCACCAAAAAGAAAAAAGCTCACACATCTTGCTTTCTAAAAGTAGGATCCTAATCAGACTCAAATTCAATTTTATCTATAATAGAGCATCAATAAGAATCTCAAATTCCAATACAATCATTCTATATCAGAGAAATTCTAGAAGTCTAAAATAATAAAATTCAAGTAAAATTAGAACCAACCCACAAATTTGGAAAATAAAAATAACAAATTTTGAGATATGGGTATTGAATTAGAGAGAAGAAAATGTAGGAATCCCTTAGAAAGATCAAGGGATCAAGAACAAAACCTTGCGATTGATGAAGGTGAACTGAGAGGAACATCCTTGACATTGTGAAGCATCAACCACCCAATTATTCCCTCTCACCGATGGTTTTGCCGGCAATCCGATCTTCTCCAACATCTCCTTATTTTCCTTTATTTTCGATTTTTTTTAGTAGATTTGTTGCAGAGAGAGGAAGCAAAAATTGTAGTCTGTATTGTTTAGAAAAAGTATCGATGAGGAAGATGAAGACGTATATCGGTCCCTGAGAACCCGAAACGGCGTCGTTTCTGATTTGGCTGCAAGGGTATAGCCCAAATCAAAAGAAATATAATCCCAAACCAAACTATTGCGTATGATAAATCACCAGTGTAGCAGGCCAATATGAGCTAACCATAGTCCATTAAGCCCTTTGCTGTAATCTATCAACGTGAACAAAGTGCCCAAATGAGCCCATATTGCTTAAGCCTTGGTTACTCTTTGAGCCCATCAGAAAAACCCAAAATTTACCTTGGTTGTTCGCCCTTTTCTTTTCCTTGGCGCAGTTCAATTGGGGGAAAACGATTTAGATCAAATTAGATTAGATTTCAATTTTTTGGATAATATATAATATTATAAATTTTTTAAATTTGATTCGAATTTGAATTAAATTTTTTTTAAATTGATTTAATTTGAATCGAATTCTATCAATTCAGTTTATTAGTTTTTAAATTTTAAATTTTTTATTTTTTATTTTTTATATATTATTTTAATAAAAATTTTAATATATTTAAATAGATTTATATATAAAATAATTATGTTATTTTATAAAAATTTAAAATATATATAAAATCTAATAAAAATATATAATTTAATTTTTTTTCAATTTTTCATATCATGATTCAAAATTTGATATGAACTTAATATAATATTTAATATCTTACTTTAATTCAAACCAAATAAAAAAAAATCGATTCAAACCAAATTAAATATTATAATTTCAAAACAATTTTTAATTTTTTTTATCTTTTTCACCCCTGCTTTGACTATAGATTATAAAATGTAAGAAATTTTAACACCTCGAGAGAAGGCTTTGGTCTTGGCTTGGCAATTCATTAATGATCCCAGCATCCCACAAATTGGTTGACTAAAAAAAATCACTATAACCAAAGTTGTTCGCGATTGCGATGAAAGTAGTAATGGCTCTTTCAAGGATGTTGGCCAATGCATTTATGGCTCACACAAAACCATGGTTCCAAAGAAAACATGACATTGTTCTTTTTCATGGGAGTGCATGCAATTTGTCCGTCATTTGATGTCCTTGTTCATCGTTAATCATTAGTTCATTATTTAATTCTCATTCTCCAAGGAAAAGACAGCACCATATTATTGAAACTTGGAACTCTCAAGGCTTTAGGTCAAGGTGAAATATCTACAACCTATTGCAATATCTCCTAGGACTGTCATTTTTCTTTTACATTAACAAATGGTGCCTTAAATTTTTGAGCAATTTGCAAACATTCGTGTAGTGAGCCCCGCAACCACCGTGCTCTTCGCCACATAGTTCGCAGGCTGCCTTGGCTGGGAGTCCTGGGTTAAGAAAGGACATAGATGCTGGAATTGTCTCTTGTACTTTTAATTTGTTCCACAGTTATTTTCTTGTCCCAATTAGATGATGATGTAAGTTCAATAATTCTTGCCTTCATACCAGCTTGATAAGTCATATTGAATAACTAGGACAACTAAACTTCGATGAAAGCAGTTGGAAATTGCAATGGAAATGCTTTGCTTTGCCACAAGCTGGCAGCAATTTTCCACCTGATGCAGTAGCCTTTCTTGGAAAAACCAATGGTAAAGTGATTAGTGTTCTACAATGACTGCTTTTTTCATCACATTTCTTTGACATTCAACAAACTGTTCTTGGTCATCAGTTTGGAACTTGAACTTTTTTTACTTCTTTCTGTATTTCATTTTCATCATGTCAAAAGAACACAGTTCCAAGTAAAACCCAAACCTTAGGAAACGATGCTAAGAGAAGATCATAAAGTACAAATGCAGTAAAGATCCTCATCCTTCCATCAGTATGTTTTTATTGGATCAGTATGCAAATCAGATACCTACTCATGCTTCTACAGTTATTCGAGAATGAAGTAAAACCAGAGGAGAATGAAGTAAAACCAAAGTTTCCCACTCTTGATCGTTCTTTACAAAATTCGAAACAAAACTAATTTGCATTTACATTAATTTGCTTCATACTATACAAATGTTTTCAAATAGAATGTAGGGGAAAAACCAAATTGACCTTGGAGGCAAGGCTATCTTCAAGAACATAGTTTTGGTAAGAATCTAGCATTATTACCAAGACTGGATAATCTTGTTCCTGGTATACTTCCAATCTGAGTGTGCATTATCCCACAGAACTTCTCCAGTTCTGTTATTCTACATTGCATTCCTTGCAGCTGTGCATCAAGTTGCTCGGCTTTCCTAGGAAGGTTGACACTTTTTGCATACAGAAGGTTTTGATCAGAATTTTCTTTCTCATTGATACTTTCCTCAGCAGAGATGGAACCACTAAAGGTTTCAAAATGTTTTTTGCCCACAGGTAAATTTTCAAGCTTGGACTGCTGATTAATGAAAGCTTGTATAGCTATTCTTGATGGAAATTTCGAGTTCCGAGCTAAGTGTCTCAATGCATCTATTGAAAGCTTTGCATAGTTAAGTGCACTACAGATTCTCATTTTCTCTGCTTCACGTAGTCTACCATGAACCTGAAATTCCATCAGCCAAGAAAAAAATTGAGTTTTTGGATTACAATTGATCCTAATAACCAAAAAGTGATATCATTCCAGTAAGAACAATCAAATAGAATTAGCATGTAGAGGGCTGGCTATAACATCAGTTTTGCCCTTTTCATTTGTATATTCAATGAATTTACCTAAATTTGGGAACCTGAAGTGATTAAGCCCTAGCAAAAGGCCTGCCACTTACTATTGCCATTACATTACATAAAGAGTAGACTACCGTTATCAATACTTCAATTCTTAAGATAGAATGAGAATCAGGTTTGCTCTAAATTTTGAGCAAAGCAATTAATTGCATTTATAACAAGGGTAAATATCTATAAGTTCATAGCAATACCTCTAGATAAATGTCCATGGCTTGAAAAAGCCTATCATGGGATTCTCTTGCAGAATCTGGCAGCAGCATGACTAATGCTGCAAACTTTGAAGGGTTCAGGTGGTAATCCGCTGCCGCTTCCACAAGGTATGAGTCAACTAAGCTAGCAACTTTTCTTAATCGCACTGGGGATAAACAACAACTTCCTTCATTGCAAAATGCCTTTACAAGCCTCAGTACCAGATTCACATCATACATATAATCTTTCCCGCGTGGGGATGGGACTAGCAGAAAATCTATAGTTGCTTGATCCAGTTGTGAACCAATATGACTTTCCAAAATGGATTTGCAATTTTTGCTAATTTTCAAGCTTGAAGCCACTCGAAATATATCAAATAAGAGCTTGCAAGAAAGGGAGCTCCTATCAAGTAAAGAAAGCAGATTGATTATGACCTCTGTGATTTTGCACTTCTCAGTTGGGGTGGCACTAAGAAATCTCGATCTTTGATAACAGAAGAGGAACTTACTAATTGTAGCATTATCAAAATGTTGGCATATCATCATGTTTATTACCTTGTCAATGAAATCAATATTCAAAAACAGAAGATCCTCAAACCACCAAGATAGTTGAGAGAAATTGTTTCTAATACTATAGCTGCTCCTTGTATCAGAGGAACACTGGAAACTGGAGTTCTCTGAGGAAGATGTGTATGGGCTTGCAACAATAGGAGAGGTAAGCCTTCCTATAACACAATCCAGGACCTTATCAAGTATTACCGAAGTATTTGAGAAATAAAGCAAATCTTGGCACTCTTTCAAAGCTAAAAGGAGCTCAGACCAGGTCCAGAAGCTGATACCATCAAGTGAATTTTTTGTTTGGTTTAACAAGCTGGCCCTGAGGCCATCACTCTCCATCTCCATAAATTGTGCAGCGCAATTTAGTAGGACTATATTGGCGGGAGTTATCTCAGTTCTTCCCTTGTTATAGCAAAACCTTGCCACGAGTTCAAAACCCTCAGCTCCCCCAGGAAAGTCATGAAATACCAATTTCAGGTTCCTGGTATCATCCATCAAATTACCAAACAATTTGCTGAATATACCAGAGTAAGATGCAAGAGTTCTCTGCATTATAAGACAAATTGAAGAGGAATTATAGCATCTAATAGTATAGTGAAAGGAAGAAACATTTTATGACATTTAGTTCATTTTACACCAAAAAGTGAAGCGGTTACCAACTCAACAAAAAGCTAAAAATGAATTAAATGTATCAATTAAACCCATACAAGATAATGAATTTAAGAGTGGTCCAGTTTCTTGCGTTCTTAGGAAATTGTGATGGGAAGTTTCTGTCAACCATAAATTTAAGAGTGGTCCTGTTTCTTCTGTAATCTAGTGGAAGGGCCAAGATCCTTGATTAAAGAATAGATTACAGATACCAGAAGAATCGAAAAGACGCATAAAAAGGAGTACAGAAAGTAGCAACACATTGATTTCAACTGAGTACTAATGATCATAGAGGCTGAAACAAGAATGAGATAAGCATGCCAGCGGGGGTGAAAACGACATGGGATTAAAGATCCAACCTCCAAAAACAGAAAAACATTTGCCAAGTTTCAAGTGAAGTGAACAAACTACAATAGTAAATATAGCATTAAATCCCCATAATAAAGATCAAACTATGCATGTTACTGACAAAAAGGATTGAATGGTAAACAGTAAGAGTATTATTACCTTGTCTACCTTGAAAATCTCTTCACCGTTGACATCCACTTCAAGATCACAGCAGACTTGCATTGTTGAGATAAACTAAGATGAAAACTGAAAACCCCACCAGGGCAAAAGAGGTTAATAGAGCTTAGAAAATGAAAGGTGCCGCGTTCAAAAAGGGGATACACTTTTTGGGATTGAGCCAGAAAAGAAGAATAAAGGACATGAAGAGTGATGCAAAGAGAGAAGGGAGAGAAACACAGTAGAAAAGTTGCTTGTATGAAGAAGCTGGTGCGATGTTGGTTGGTCAATGGACAACTGAGCATAAGAGACAAGACAAGGTTTGTTAGTAGAGAGTAGATGTAGATATAGAAAGGAGGGGAGGGAATAAGAAGCAACGAGGCATTTTTGAAAACAATGGAACTTTACAGTTGCTACATATTGCAATGGGGACACCCACATTGTTCCTTCTCATCTACCAAATACACGCTTGTTGGTGGCGAATTCACACCCTTAAAAAAGGTATCAAATCCGACAACCATGATGAAAAAACGCATGTTTTAATCTTAAGATGACTTAAATTTAAAATTTTTAATGTTTTTTAGTCTAAATCACATCATTATCATTAGTATATGGAAAAAATTTTGTGGATATCAAACCAATGAAAATTTAAGTAAAGTTTTAAGTAGAAATAGCCAGTGGGTTTGATTTTGCTTGGTGATGTTGTTTCATGTAGTTTACATTGAAAATTGGACATCAAATTAGTTTCCACAAGAAAAGGAAGTTGAAATCGTCAAAGAGGAAGGAAGGCTGGGCTTTCACATTCTCAAACTAAAATATTTAGTAGCTGAAATACATAATTGGAAAAGTCATTCTAGAAAATAGTACTTCTAAAACAATTTATTTTTCTATGATGCACATCGTTCGAGCGCTTCCTTTTTTATTTATTTTTTTCTTTTGCATGCGTTGATGCCTATTGACTCCGTTACTCGTGGCGCCAGTTTCTATTGAGCCAGAGAGAGCAAGAGAGAAACCTCTTGGTGGAGGCTGAATCTGTACGCCACTTAAAAAGAAATGAAATAGAGAAGCTGAGCAAGTATTGGATTTTTGTAGAGGCATAAAATATAAGATATTGTTATGGCCCAGTCAAAGAAATTATTTTTTTTTTAAGAAGAAAAGCAACGGGAAAAAGAAGGGCAAAACTAGGAGCCCACTAGTTGCGACAGAGAGTCCTGATAACTAATGAGCATTTATATACTTCATTCGCATTGGATAACAGTTCATATATCATCTATTTTAATGGATATAATAACCATATGGCGCCTTAGCTCATCTTAACTTTTCTTCCAACGCAATTTTATCAAACGCGTAGGCCTAACAGTAAACTCGACTTTTCCACAAGCAATTAGGAATTAACCAAATGAGAGTTGATGAAAAACTAGTGAAAATTGAGAATCTTAAGAAAGAAGACACAGCAATCTTTTTGGCATGCCAATTGTTCTGAAAAAATTTCTTTTAAATGAAAAGGAAAAAAATCAGATGCATGGACTCATGAATTGCGACGGTACTCATGACTCATGAGTCGTACGTCACATTATAATCATCGACTGCATAAAACCAATTACCAGTAACACGATCTGGCCACTGGGAAGAAGTCCATATGCCTCTCAAAGTTTAGTAGCCATTTATCTGAGGCCTCGGAGTTGGACTCATCAGACGAGAGAAAGGCATTTGGGTCTGTCCAGGAATACCCCTTTGCCCAGCATATCGATCATCTGTTTTCTGATCTGAGAATGATTTCGAAAAGGCTTGGGCAAGCTCCACAGCTGATGCTGCTTTTCCATAGCGCACGCCAGCAGCCTCAGGAGAGACTGGTTTAGGCTGCTCAGCAGGCTTGCGCCAGGTCTCAGGTGATGGTTGCCTCTCCTGCTGCTGCTGCCTTTCAGTTTCCCTGCCATTCCACCGGTTTTCATTACGCCAATTCCTCCTCTGCATATCAGCTCTTTCATTGTCCACATGATGATTCCTCCCTGATTTTCTTCCAGCTCTCTGATCAACAGGAGCATTCTCAACTCTTTCACCATGGCGAGGAGTTGCTTGCTCAGAAACTTTTTCAGCCCTCATAACATTATGTTTGACCCTTCATGAAAAAACAAAGACTAATAACGACATGGTATTATTAAGTTTTAGCCAATTGGTGAACAAACCCAAAAATTAAAAGGGGCAAAATGTCCTAGAATCGTATTAAATACAATAAATCACTACTACCTATGGTTATCAGGATGTTGGCCAGGCTCATGGTTGCTATCATCAATCCCTCTTTCCTTCAGAACCTGAGATGCAGACCAGCAATCCTATTAGCTGTTATTATTATGAAAATTACAAAAAGAACATAATAAAAAGTGTGAAGCTATTATTATAAATTAAATTATGTTGACATCAACAAAGGAGTGATGAATGAACAAAGTAATTGAATAATCCAATAAGCAGGCAGGAGAGATTCACTTACCAGCTCTCGTGGGCGAGCACCACCAAACAATGCATTTCTGCACCAGTAACACTTAGCTAAGTAGTTATTCATAAACCTAACGTGATGATTGTCCAGAAAATAAACTAAAAAAACTCATTCATTGTCCAGAAAATAAACTAAAAAAACTCATTCATTCAAGATTACTGTATAAGTTGATAGGATATGCAAATAGAATATAGCAAAAACTCTCTTTAGCCAGGTAAGATGCATAAGATCTAAACTATTATTCAAGTTAAGTAATGATTGATGAGTTTTGCATGGGAACCTAACAAATAGGTGACAAGAAAATTTAAAAAATTGTAGTAAAAGTGCATTATCACGTTCTATACTTTAAATCATAGATGGCATTCTTTCACCTTTCAATTGTGCTTTAGTTGCTTAATAGTAATAAGGTTAAATGTGACTCAATAATTCACTGTCAATTTAATGCCTAAGAATATCATGATTTAATGGCTAATCTCAAAGTTCCTTATGAGACTATCACATTCAAAATTTACAAATCATCTAAATTTGCTATTGTGAAATTAAAAATTTTCATTTCACTCTTATCTTAAAAGTTTTTCCTTGCAACATAAGTATATATCTATTAAAGAGTAATAAATTCCAAATAACCTTCCTAATTTGACTGCCTTCAGACTCACCAATTTTTTCCTTTATTTATATAAAATATGCAAGGAAATAGAGAAAACACTAGCATTCCTATGGACAGGGTATAAAAATGCAAACAGTAATTGCCAAGTCAACAGAATAGCACATGCAAAATCAAAAAAATAAAAATGGCAAGAAAAGGAGGAAAAACAACACACAACAGGACAAACAAACATATTTTGATAACTAAAGAACAAAAGCTGCAATCAGAGATACCTAGAGATATTCCCTAAAAGCAACAAACTATCCTTATCTATCATTTTGTGTACATAATTGCTAAAAGTTTAAATGAAGTCTCCAAGAAAGAGCATATGTCATCAATTCCTAATACATTATATTTGTCGCTCCATACCTCAACAATTCTGTCCCTCACCCTCATTGACTTACTCTTACCACAGATGATAATATGAAGCAGACTTAATATATTCAAATTTCAAAACTCTGTCTCATGATTTTATAATAACAGGAATACACATCTATAAAATACTCATACAAAGGAACATCAATTTAAAGTCCGGAAGTGTACTGACCTTTCCTTTTCAATGTTCCCTTCCAATTGTTCAATGGGCTGTAAACGTGGCTTTAGATTCAGCTTTGGACGCTCCACTGTTTGGATCCCACTCTCACTGCCAGCTAAACCAGGTTTTGAAGTATTCACATGTCCATGTGAATCACTACCAAATTCAGTATGACCAAGAATGTGTTCACTTAGCCTCTGGTACCCCTATTTCAAGAAAATTGTCAAAATTAGAGGAGAACTAAATGAATGCAAACTTCGATAGCATGGCATCAGATCAGTACCTGCTTAGGATCAATAACAGTTGATTCTAGATTATCCATTGGCTTAGTCCGAGGAAGTAACTTCAACTTGGGTCGCTCAGATACTTCCAATGGCACTGACAATGATGGCTGCAATTCAGAGCAACCAAATTTGCCATCTGATTGAGTTGATTGAATTCCTTCACCATAAATTACAGACATCTTTTCTTTAACTTCCGAATAATTAGGACTGAGGTTCCTCTCATATTCAGGTAACTCCTTTCTTCCAGACTGAATTCCATCTTCATTATTCAAACCCTTTTCTACATGCTTAGCCAATATCACATCAGAATATTCCATCCTACCCACAGCATTCATTCCGGTGTATGTCTTATCATCATAACCCTGGGAGTGCAAACCATTTTCTGTTTCTGAATGTTTACTTACATCAATATCTGTCTGATATTGATCGGACTGTTTTGACTTCCATCTACCTGAGGAAACCTTTTCAAGTGCACTAGCATGAGCCAACTTCGAGACAGCACTTTGTTCAGACCATACAGATTGTACAGGCTCAGCAACACTCACAAGCACCTCCTTCCTAGTTGCCCACGCATTAGGGTACAACCCAGAAGCAGCCTGCCCATGATTCCCTCCTGCACTCTGAGAACTTCGACCAAAGTGAGCAGCCTCAGACACTCTACTAGAGTATGAATTCCCCGCTCCACCTGACAATGGAGATACCGGAGCTGACCCATTTTGACCTGAAACCCTCCCTGCATAAGCAGACTCTGGCTTCAGCTCCACACGACTAGCTGGAACCCGAAAACCGTCATCACTAATAGTTCTACGGGGGGCAGAAAGCCCATCTAAAGGCTTTCTTTCATCCTCATCAAAATTACGACCAATATGCACTGAATTGGTAAGAAATGGGGTTTTATCATCAAAATGCCTAGTTCCGGGAGACGAATTGGGCCGGGCTCGGTGATCAGGCCGGCCTATCGGGTTTCCCCACGATGTTGCTCTGTCATAACCTGAGCGATCGACAGGTCTAACAATCCTATACCAATCAAATTCAATTAAAAAATATATATTAATGAACTAGGGTTTCACTTGCAGATCCAGTGGCTTTCAGATCCATTATAAAACGACTCAAATTTAACATTTTGGATTATACCAGAAAAGTATACATCAAAAAAAAAAAAGAAAAAAAAAAAGAGAAATTGGATCAAAATCAATGGAAATTGAAATTTGGGAACTTACACGCCAGGGGCAGAAGGGAGGGGGAGATCAGTTGGGATTGAACCACCATGAAAATCTTTCAAAGTCATAGTGTTGCCACTGAAAGCTTTCTTCTTTGACATTTTCCCTTTGATTATTTGTCCCTCCAAAAACAAAAATCTCAAACTTTCTCTCCCTCTAAATATATATGAATAAAAGAATTTGTATATGCAAATAGAAAAGAAAAATAAATAAAGATATTAAAAAAAAAAAAAGAACCCCCGATTTATTGAAACCGGAAGATAAAAGAACAAAAAGAAAATCGAAGGATGGAGAAGCTCTGGAAAAGAGAAAGGGATGGCCTCTTACTCACGGACCCAATGTTTTTTTCTATCTAAAACACAAACAAAGTTTAATAATGTTTCCCTGTCTCGGGACGGTTCTGTTCTTCTTCGGCTGTACTGTTCTTCTTCTGGTTTTGCTAATTGTCAATTAAACCAGGGCTTGGCTTGAGTAATTCAATCACAATTTTACAACTGAAAAGTATGTTGGGCTTTCAACTATGAAAAAGGAATCATGAGCCTGAGCAAGCGCTAAAAAGACTTTGGGCCAAGTCTTATCTTGGACTTGAATTCTTGGTCCCATTATTTTTAAACAATTTCAATTGGTCAAACTGTTTTTGACTCTATTTGAGTATTATACTTGTTTTAAAGAAATTCATATGTTGAATTAGGAGAGACAGGATATGCCTGAACGTATCTGGGTCTTGAATGCTAAATCCCTCTGCAAATTGATAGAGGCAGTGTACCATGCGTGCAACATTAGTGGTACCTTTGATAAAGGATAGCAGCAAAGGTGATTGAGTGTTGAAGCATTGACCATTTATTTTCTTACATGTGTTGGTTGTCATGTCCTTATAAGCTCATGAGCTTTTTCCTTTTAAACATTCACTTCTCGCATGTATCACAGGATTGATGATGGAGAATCCCCTCTCTCTTTCTCTGCCTGGTGGAAGTCTTTGATTTGATAATTTTTCTTTAGCAAAAATGAAACTTGAATTATGTCTTTTGACTGAGTTTTTCGTTTACTATTCTTCCTATTCTTGGAAGATGCTACAGCTTGTAAAGCTTTCGGCCTTTCCTCTGCAGAGAGGTCCGCCATACCTCGCTTTGTGATCATGTCAATCAGCTCTCCTTTAGCTAATTCTTCTCCTTTAGCCATTGTTTTATCTGAAAATATTTCTTGATTGAACTCGCATTTCCATATCATTTTATAAGATCAGTGAATAGTTCATCAGATGTGTGATTATCCTGCAAGTTGGAAGGCTTTGAGTGACAAGAACATATATTTGATATCCGTACTGTTGTTTCGTAGTGCAAAACGCATTATCATGTTTGAATTGCTGAAGAAAAACATGACGCTTAGAGCTGGAATTTGAGGGTTCCGATACCTCTGAACGTGGCAAGGGGTTTGGATTATCTTCATTATAGGGTAGGTTTCAGTCTGTCACTGAACCAGTAGAAACAACTGGTAAAATTTTTGAAAAGAGGTGTATCAGTATTCAGCTTCATTCATTTTGTAACAGGCTGTTCCTCCTGTTGTGTACCACGACATCAAATCTTCAAATATATTGTTGGACAGCTTCATGAAAGCCAGAGTATGCGTTCAATTTTCAGTAGCTAGTTCATTTCCCCCACGTATTTCTTGCTCTGATGCTTAAAATGTGTAAGTACTAATGTCAAACAGCGCAGGTTGCTGATTTTGGACTTTCAAGACTGGGGAAGAATAATTTGCATTCATCTAATGTCAATAGAACTTTTGGATATGTTGATCCTGAGTATGTCTGTGGTGATCTTTACTAAGAAAAGTGATGTTTATTGTCTTAGGGTGCTATTATTTGAAATACTGAGTAGCAAGAACCCACAACAGGGTCTCATTGAGTATGTGGAGCTTGTGAGATCTCTCTCAAGCCCCTCTGCCCTTACTCACCTGCGTTTCGCCTATGCATCCACATTTTTTACGTGCATGCAAAAAATATGAACCTCTAATTGAAGCCATAGTTTGAAATTGACTGCATGATTCATTGACGTTTTTCATTTCTGTGATCACGAATAGGTGGCTATTGATGTGGAAGACAATGTAGAGTGGGAAGAGATTGCAGATTCTAGACTTGCAGGAAAATTTTATGTTCAACAACTGAATTATATTGCTGCCCTTGCTTATAATTGTGTAAATCCTGTCTCCAGAAAAGGGCTGAGATCCGTAAGCCAAGGAACTCAAGGGTGCATCACGGCCAAAACTACCCTGCTAAAGCAGAAGAAACTACTTTCGAACTGGACCTTCAAGGGATTGTTGGTCATTCTTTAACTGAACGTTGAAAGAGTTGCACAAATGTTATAGTTGAACCCAGAAACAAAGTATCATAGCCATTGTTTTGTATAAAACAATCTGTTTCATGATTCAGTTTGTGATTTGATTTTTGGTCTTCCAACAAGGATAATTTGGTTTTTTTCCTTTTTCTTCTGAGATTGATTTTTTTATGATAATCAATCAATGAAGAGTTCATGTTTTCTTTGAGCCTAGCTAAGTAGAATTAAAAGTAGAGATCATGTTTGGTGTCTAAAGGTATTAATCTATATGCTGATGGAAAAGCAAAAAATAGAAAAGTACTATGAAAATTGAGTTCAACTACTAATGCCCTTCATAAACAAAGCAAATCATATTCGCCACATGATCTTAGCTTAATTTGTAACACATTAAGTTATTAGGATATTATCACAGAACACAGCATAGATCTTAAGCAACCAAAAGCCACAATCATCAGTGAAAAAGTTCAGGAGTCTTCACTTGAGCAGCCCCTTAGCCTTTAAGTACTCGACAGTTTGGTCATAGATTTCCTCAAGCCCAAACTTAAAGCTGAATCCTTCACTAATAAGCTTCTCTGAGGAAATGATCAACTTGGCTTTAGAGGGGAAATCTCCAAAACTGCAATTGTTATAAAGTAAACAAACTATGTTAAACACAATTCTCCCAGAAAAGAAGAGAAGTTTAGCTATGATATTGAACGCAGATCTTGACAATGCATATTGACTTACTCAGTGGGGACTTTGAAATCGGGGTATCTTTTGTTGAGGAACTCAGCAAGCTCAGGCACACTGGTATTGACAGCACAGCATATATATCGACCAGATGCAGATTCTTTCTCAGCCAGAAAAACATGGGCCCGACATACGTCCTCCACGTGTGTTATAGAGATTGAACCTGACAACATTTGCATACCTTTCAAAGCATTTATGAGGAATTCGTTCCCTGCAAAATGTTTAAATTCCATCAGTTATAGTTTATGGTGCTTCAGTGTACTTTCTTTAAGCAGTTCTACATCTAGATATTAGCAGCAGAATGAAACAATGCCAGAACACTAGGTTCTAATTTTAAATACCTGAAATCAAAGATGTAGCAAGCCCTATGCTGCTAGGAACATCTGGCGTGAGAGAAGGACCAGTCATCAGAGAAGGGATAATTGTAATGAGATCGATGTTGTTTTCTTGAGCAAATTTCCATGCTGCCTTTTCAGCCAATGTCTTGGATGCAGGATACCCCTGCAAATATGGATAAAGCTTATTTCAGATTTTGCCCACCTAAAATTTATCTGTACATAACAGCTATCTTAATTGCTTGATCCTAAAAGAATATTGTATTAGCATCATTTTGTTACCCAAGTTGGTGGCTTTGCTGAGGATAAAAACTCAATATCACTCCAGTCTTTCTCCGTCATGACCAGACCTGTCCCATTAAGTGTGTTGATTGACACAGCTGCAGCTGAAGATGTCAAGACGACACGTTTAACTGTTTTTGCTTTGACACAAGCTTTCAAAACGTTCAGCACTCCCTGGGTTGCTGGTTTGATCATGTCATTCTATAACCAAAAAAAAAAGTGGAGAGAAATAAAGCAACCTTGTCATTCCCAAAAGCAGAAGTAATTTGATTATCAAAGGAAAGTCGTTTTAACAGTGTCATATACCTCTGGGTCTTCAGAAGCAAAATTGACTGGTGTTGCAACATGGAAGACAAAATCACAACCAGCTATAGGGGCATTAAAGCTCCCTTCATCAGTTAAATCTGCTTGAAAGATTTTCAAGTCTCCCAACTTTTGTAGTGTTAACAGGTGAGGGATCTTCTTCTGGTTGTCTGCATAAAAGATGTAGCATTAATCCCATTCATATGTTTACTTTGGGTGTTGCAATGTTATTAATTTAATAAGGAAACTCTTCAAATCGACGAAAATTTTCAAAGGCCTTGATATTATTCTTGCCTAGAATCATAGTAAAAGCTTAAAAGGTCTCCACATGAGTACTTCAAGTCTTTAAGATTTTCGCCATTATTGATGACAAGACTTGTCAGGAAGGGGTTAAAAGCCCTGGAATTCCTGGGCAGGCGGATGATACATTGAGCAAATGCAAAGAGTATCAGAGAAAAAGAAAACGTAAATTACACATTAGAATGGCCCACCAAACCAAGGCGGTATAACCTAGGAAGCTGGATAACAATACAAACCACTAAACACTAGCCACTCCCACTTCACTCCCACTGTAAATGGGGGCAGAACAATAACATAAAAAGAAACATCGATCAAAAAGAAAAAACCAAAAGAAGAAGAAGAAATCAACCTGGGTCCCTGACTGTAGTGTTAACAGCGTAACCCTTCTCAAGTAACAGCTTGACCAACAAAGATGCAACGAACCCGGTGCCACCCACGACACAAGCCTTCTTTGTTCCTACAATCTCGCTGGCCATGCTTCTATGCCTTAATTTGTGTTTCCTTTACTAGTTTTCTACTTTCTTTTTTCTCTTGCTTGTTTTGATTTCTTGAAGGAAAAATTGTTACTTGACTGCTATGACTTTGAAACATTAAGCAAAGTCCTCTTATAGAAGTTGCTCACTTGGTCCAAACTTCAAAGCGTGATTAGATATTTAGATGTAGTAGGTGAGCACGTGACCTTGTGCACACCAACGATTCAAAAGGCTTAAACCCTGATGTCAATTGTCAAACATCCTTAAAAGTAGGTTTATAGGATGAGATACAATTTTCTCCTATGATGAAATCTTGAAGGTGGGTTGAGGTCAAGTTCTTCTGTTGTACGAACAGCGGCATTTAAAATCATGCGCAAAGTAGGTTCGTGTATCGGCTTCTTTCCAATGTTGGTTTAGATAAGGCAGAAAACAAAAGCTTTTAATTCTAAGATTGGAGCAATTAAGGCTTTTTGCCTTTTCATATAATTCCAGCATAAATTATTTTATCCTAGAATTTGAGTGAAATTGGTTTTGGTGTCAGTATTTGATGCATGGTTGGTGTCAACATTTCTGGAAATGCAGAGTAGAGGGCAAAAGGGGGTAGCTGGGCCAATGGCCACCTAAAAACCTCACCCTGGATCTAAATAATGTATCACGTGGGTGTCCGGTTAGGTGGTTTTTCTGTTTTTGACCACAATATCAGGTAAGGCACGAATCCTTTTTTTAAAGTGGCGGTTGTACATCATTCGACCATCAGGATTCAGACGTTTAAAAAGTGTAACATCTGTTTTGAAACTATAGTTAATTTGTTTGATGGGGAGGAAAAAAATTAACCAGACGAGGAAAAAAGAACACCTGGGAGATCTTTTAATAATCTTTCTTATATCACAAGTTTCCCTTCCCAAATAAAGAATGGAGTACTAAACAAATCATCTTTAAAAACCCTAGGTCTTAATTTTGACAATGCTGTTACAATTGAAAAAAAACTTGGATTAGCAAAAACATCTCTCCATGTAGGAAAAAGTGCCTTTAAACGTAAATTAGATGAAGTTTAGCATTGCTTTAATTGCTAAAAGCAGGTTTTTGGTATATAATCAAATTCAACAACTCATCCTAACCCATTTCTGTAAGTGACTCTTACTATCAAAATATACATCAGGTTTAGATATGACATCTAAGTCCAAGAAGAGCAACAGTAGGAACTAGACCGACAATACCCAAACACGGCAATTTTGTTAAGGAATTAGACCAGGTATAGCAGGATCAGTGCACTAACAGAATTGGATTCTAATAAGGTTTAATAGATTCTGTACTGGAGTTCTTCTAATTATTCCCTAAATTCTTCTGAAAAGGAAACAGGCAATGGGAATTACCCAAGATGATCATTGATTGAAGATCAAATTGACTTACCTGCAGGACAATCCTAAAGGCAGTTTCACTAAAAAATATGGAGAGGGGACGGGGCAAGGGAAGGGTGGTGAGAAACTTCAAGCAGTTAAGCTGAAAATGAAAGCATTGTTAGGAATTCTAAAGCTACAACTAGCTACAGCTTTATGCATATTGATGCAATCTCATGGCATGTCCGGAGAGATGATATGCTTCTATGGCTTCCAACTTTTTAAAATTTTCACCACATTTTGGCAAACAAAACCTTGAGACTCTGCATCAAGAGAGATCCTAGGCCTCGAAGAAAGCCATTGCTACTGCCCAAAGGATACTCCTTGAAAGGCCGAATGACCTTATGCCGCCGTAGTCGAGCTCCATAAGGCGGTCTGCAGGGCCAGGTGTACCAGGCCTAAGGGTGCCCACAAAAGTTGAACCCCCCTTGCCACTATCATTATCACAACACTGAGTGTTAATTTTGAGTTAACATTTCGAGTTACTGAAAACTACTTGAATCGGATTGAGAATGTTATAGATCTTGGGCTACCAATTGGTGCCTTGTCTGTGCATTTCTTGCTTCCATAAATATCATCTCTTAAATTGGATATGGATCTTGAACACCCGGACCTACATAAACATGGCTTTCTTGACTCACTGCCGTTGCCTTTGCGATCCTGCACATCATACAACTCTGCTTTACACACTTGACTTGATTGCTTACAAACAAAATTCAAATGGGCTTAAAGAGTAATCTCATGCAACAAGAGTTCAAACACGGAGCCAGACTCACAAAATCACTACTGTAAACTGAACCTATGCTGGTGAAGATCAAGACTAGGAAGTTGGAAGAGATGAATTTGTAATATGGAGGGTTTTAAGTACAAAGCAAAAGGAGATTCCCATCTTAAAACCTCTCATAATAAAAGGCAAAACCTCTATTACAGCAACTACATATTTTCAATTTAATTATTTAATGAAAACAATATGCTAATTTGAAATGATTCCCATGCACTCTCCTTGATTATTCTATGTGCAAACATGTTCGCTTTATGATTTTTTTTTTTTTTGGGGTAAAGACTTTATGAGAAATTTGAAACGGTTAAAGGTATGACAATGCCCACTGAAAGTTTGATTCCAGGCTTTGATGTATGCCATTTGCTTCACAAAGTTACATTGGTACCATCTTTTCCTTTGATTCCAAAACGTTTTGATCAGTTAACCGAATCTTGAATTTTGGTACTCCGGCAAAGAAAAGGGAGGGGCAAGGCATCCTACAGTTGCCATTGCCAATGCACCAATCTAAGCTGGGGTTACCGTTGTGGCTTGACCATGGCTTTTGAGAATTAAACCAAAACTCTAAAAGGTAACTAGTTATTATTAAGTGGGGATTATGGTTTGCTGTTCATACATCTCAGGGATTGATCAATGTCTGTTTCAGTCCGGTAGATAATCTACTTTTCTTGTTCTCCATGGAAGGAATCCGAATTTAAAAAGAAGGTGCAAAAGAAGAATATAGAAAACTGTAAGAACAAAAGAAGCTTTTAATCTAAAACTCACAGCTCACAGCCAATCTCCCTTTTATTTGTTACTAATCTGCATGCCTGGTCCCACTTTATTCTCATTCTCGTCTTCATTCTGACTCCAGAGTTCATAAAGCTTGCCCTTATAAAGGGGGCCTTTCACCGAGAGATTTCTCCTGCCTTCTTTGCGATCATATTCATTGGTGCTCCATAGTAAATTTTCATAATAGGCATGGCAAGAAACTTTGGTTTTCTGATTTGTCTCTTGATCATGGCTATGGACATTACTGCGGGGATACTTGGAATTGAAGCCGAAATATCTGAAAACAAGGTATGGTTAGAATGAAACGAGAATTCTAATCTTAAGCTTTTCTTAATGATGCATGGTGGTGCTGTTAAACAGGTGAAGCATTTAAGGGTGTGGATTTTTGAGTGTAGAGATCCCAGCTTTCAAGCTTTCAAGCTAGGACTGGCGGCAGCAGTCCTTCTTGGCCTTGCCCATGTTATCGGTAATTTACTTGGTGGCTGCGTATGCATTTGGACCAGGGAAGACTTCGAAAGAGCGTCTGCTAACAAACAATTAGCTGTGGCGTCTCTCATTTTTGCATGGTATGTCTTCTAATATCCCTTCATCTCCTTCTCGGCCTAGTATCTTTTTCTTCACTTCTCCAAGAATAACAACAAATAAACTGCTCGCATCGTACAATACAGAATAAAAAAGGTAATAAATATCTTAGGTCAAAGCACAAAGTTATTGTACCCGAAACAATCTCCATATGCAGGCCTTGCCACTCTTAATACCCACCTTCGCATAACAAAATTGATCACTGAGATGTTTTCAGGCCACCTAGAAATTATCATTCTGATTTCATTTGCACCAAAAAACAAAAAAGAAAAAGCAGAAAAGACACCAGTTAAGAAACGCTTCTTAATTTTCTAGGACCCCAATCCATATTCAAAACCTTTTACTAACAAAGTTGCCAGATATGTAAATCGTGCTTTCCTTTATGGTCAAGTAACATCTATCTAGAATCCGTACTCAATTTTTCTTGGAGAGTGACAGAGACATAATCATGCCCTCTAACTTATAATGTGATGACAAAAACAGGATAGTATTAGCAGTTGGATTCTCAATGCTGATCATAGGGACACTATCAAACTCAAAGTCAAGGAAAACGTGCGGCATATCCCACCATCGGCTTTTCTCCATTGGAGGAATTCTCTGTTTCATTCATGGACTTTTCACAGTTGCTTACTATGTATCAGCAACAGCAGCAGCCCGAGAAGATGGAACAAATCGACCTCGATCCACTGCCTAATTTACCTTATCCCACTTTTCCAAGCTTTGTGGCAAAGTTTAACATCTGATATTTGATTATTTTATTGACATTTTGGATGTAACCACTTTAATGAAAGGTTTCTTAAAAGCAGAAGCAAAACTGAAGAATTATAATGTGTCAAAAAGTAATTGATTTACAACATCAATTAAAGCCACTGCCAATCTTCACAAAACTACCTCCAACAAAATGCAAAAAATCGCAGAAACTAAAAAAACCCAGAAAGAAAATTACTGATATTTCACAAATTGATATAAAAATAAGCCTAAATATCATCATCAGCAGGGCCACCCTTGGAGCCAGCACCAGCCCTTTTAGGCAACAAGGTGTTGTGAATATTAGGCAAAACACAGCCGTTAGCAATTGCAACTGTTCCAAGCAACTTGCTAAGTTCCTCATCGTTCCTAACTGCTAACTGAATATGCCTTGGAACAATTCTTGCCTTCTTATTGTCTCTCGCAGCGTTACCAGCCAATTCCAAGACCTGTCAAATCACAAGTAACAGATCACAAATCCAACACCACCCCAGATTAAAACCCAACAAAGAAAGGGATAAATTGTAGCGGATTAGTTACCTCAGCGGGGAGGTATTCAAGGACGGCGGCGAGGTAAACAGGGGCACCAGCACCAACGCGATCAGCGTACTTTCCAGCTTTCAAGAAACGAGCAATACGGCCTACAGGGAACTGGAGACCAGCCTTGTGGCTTCTTGATTGGCCCATCTTTTTAGCTCCTGCTCCAATTGCCTTTCCTCTTCCTGCCATTGTTTTCTTTTAATTTGCTACTATTCGAGATTGGAGAGATATTGAGAAAATTCAGATTTATTAGTTTGTAAAGGGAAGAATCAGGCCTCGGTCACGAGTCGATTTTGGATGATGTTCAGCCGGGGAGGCGTTGCATGTCCTGGAATTTTATATGGTTGGGGAAGCGGGTGTGATAGCCAATGAGAGGAAGTTACGCGGATCATGATCTTTAATCGTTGATTGTGCTTGTTAATGGACGGTTGACGATTAGTTTCCCGATCGGTTTTGGACTTTGGGAACAGCGGGAAATTGGGGAATTTAGAAAAGGGAGGGTTAAATCTGGAAATCTGGCTCTAGCCCACAGGCAGCCACCACGTTTGAGAATTTCGGCCAATTTACCTGGAAGCCCAATTCTATATCAATTTGAGCTTCTTTATCAGGGGCTTTTTATGATTAGTAAACTTTTAATATGGGCTTCTTTATCTGGGGCTTTATAAACTTTTAATATGGGCAAAAGGGTGCCTTGTTTATCAAAAGTTGCTTAAATTGATTCTGTTTTTTTCCCGAAACTAGAATCCTTGAGTGAGCGGTGACATGACGCGAAAGTGCTTCCACAAATTAACAAGTTTCAATTTCGTTAATAGAAATGAAAAGTGTCTCTACAAACGATGAACAAGGCTTGCATTCAAAATACAACAATTCTCTTAGCCAAGCTTGGCAAGAACGTCGTTCAGAGTAGATACAGTCTGAGCATAATACTTTTCAGCTTCAGGGGTGCTCTTGATCTTGGCCGCATGATCCAGCTGCAAGAAAACATTATACGTATCAGAAACTTATGATAATTCACCACGTTCCTTCAAGGAAGTAATTGTGTGGGAATTACGCAGCAAAACCGAAGCAAACTTCAAAACTTACGTCGCCGATGGTATCGAAGAGCCTTTTAGTGAGCTCCTTCAGAGACTTCTTCTCGTCTTTGGGCTTGGCAGAAATGACAGTGTTAAGGTCATAGCGGAGATACTCAGCTTTGAGACGGAGATCATTCTGGACAAAGGGCCAGGCCTTTTTGTCAATCAAGCTCTTGACACCAAGAATGTCCTTGGCTGACTCCTTTGCCCTTTGAGCTGCCTGAGCTGGAGTAAGTGGTTGGAGGAAGAACCTGGATTTGTATGGCAGATCAAGGTCTCTTGGCTCATCAGAGTTCAGAGTTCCAGCTGCCATCATGCCGATTTGGCCATCAAAATACTGAACTGTATATATAATGATTCCATTTTCAACCTACAACTTCAGTTTTCATGTTCTTTATGGACATTGGCCTACAAAGCAATGTTGATTAAAGTTGGGAAACTACATTGCTGGAATTCTCTTAGCAATTTACAGGGATTGTTTTCTACTAGAACTTATGAACAAGTTTGATATGCAAAATCATTTCCCTCTCATTATTCTTGCAAACGAAGCCCAATTGACAACTATCTTTGAATCTCATGATAAAAATCTTGTCATTCTCATCCTAATTTTGTGTACTTTTTTTTAATTATTTCGGAGCTAAGTACAGTGCTGATTTACAAATTTAACCGAACCACCATTCCAAACAGAGCTGCATGCAGGGAGGGAAAAAATCATTAGAAGGTCTGTAAAAATTGAGAAGCATTGATGACTTACGCAATCCACCAGAGGGTGGGGGAGGTGGGCCAATCTTGAGGCTTCTTACATCGGCAAGCACAGCTTGAACAAAGGAGCCTGTGGCCAAACCAGCAGCAACAAGACCCAGCACGGCTCTGCGTCCAGTTTCAGGCTCGGTCGGTGCCTGTTGGGCTCTCACGATGAAACCAGGCCTAGCCGTAGTTACTTTATTGTTGCCAGCAATGTTCAAGCGGGTTTGGCCACTGAGTTGGAGGCTGCCTTCCAGGACAGCCTGTGAGGAGCCACGCAAGCCAGCCATCGATGCCATTGCTTGTACCATCTCTGCAGCAAGTAATTTTCAATGCCACTGAGCTAAGAGTAGAAAATGTGGAATTATATTTTTGTTTTGGCGTGAGTAGGGGGTGTTGGACGAAAGATGCTTTTAGTTTGTTCCCTTTTTTTCTTGTGATGTAGATTGGTTTTGGACAGTAGTCCAAAACCTTATCTGCCATTTTCTACTTTGGATAAGTTGGATATGGCCTTAACCCATTGTCCTTAGACATGTGGTGGTTGATGATTTTGGCATATGACACGTTGGCGTGGTTTGTGTTTTGACACGTGACGCTGCAAAAATTGTGGTTTTTTTTTTTTTTAAATTAACTTTAGCCTTAATTCAAATCAAAGGCCCAATGTTTGGTTCATCGGATTTGGAGTCCAGACAACATGGGTCAATCAGTCCACACCTGGTCGACCGGGTTGAGATTAATGGCCTACAAACCCGACCCAAAAGAAAGAAGTTACCGTTAGTATATATATATTTTTTCATAGGGCAGGCCGCCAGATCTAATTTCAAATCAATTCAAAAATTCGGTCTCCAGGCTCCCCCCAATCTCACAACGCTCTCTCCCCCTTTCCTTTTCCAAACCCTAACGTTCCAATTTGTTCCCCAAATCCAAAATCTCCCCAAAAAATCAATTCCAAATCCATTTTCTCCCATAACAACGGCCCAGATCCAACCCTGCTCCGTTTCCTCACTACAAAGTATTGTCAAATAACCTCGGCAACAGCTTCGACTGAGTTTCAAATATGGCTTCCCGCAACCAGAACCGACCTCCTCGCAGCCCCTCCACTGTAAGCAATTTTCCCCCTTATTTTGAATTTTTTTCACTCTGTTTTTTTTTTTAGTTATTACTGTTCTTATTATTAAATTCAGAGGAAGGAGCTTGGAGATGACAATCCGTTAGACAAACGGAGAAGGCTTGGAGCAATAGGAAGAGCAGCGGGGCCCACAGGAGCCGGGCGAACCCGACAAGCCTTCGCCGTTGTTAACAACCGCCAAGACGTTACAACCGCCGCTAACCCCGCCGAGGAATGTCCTAATCATGAATTCACCAAAGAAGAAGTCGAAGGGATATTGAACGAGAAGCCGAAAGCAAAAAGGTTCGATCTCAAGGTAAAGTCAGTTTTGTTTTTGGTTTATAAATTTAATTTTGATATTTGTTTGTTTTATTATTGTTGCCGTTGGTGATTATTTTGTGTAGGCTAAATATGAACACGCGGCGGAACATAATAAAAGGCTTAAGCTTTGTGTGAAATGGTTTCAACAATGTGATGAGAATCATGTACTTGATAAAGAGAAGCTTAAGAATTCATTGGAATCTGCTCAGAAAAAATGCATTGATACGGGTAATTTTGCTTCTTCCTATAAAAGTTAATTTAAATGACTGCTTGATTTTTGTTAATTAACTTTTGATTCTATAGAGTTAGAGAAGAAAAACAAGGAGGAAGAATTGAATGCGGTTATTTCAGAGTTAAGGGACAATATTGCGTCTTTACAGGAGAAGCTTTCTAGGGAAGTTTCTGACAAGCTGGTATGAACTTAATCTTAAAAATCTGTCATGGATGTATGTTTTTCTTTATTTTTTTATTCATATGTTTGTTTGGTTTTAATAACTAGGATGCTATTGACCGCCATAGAAGTGAAAATGAAGCTAGGGTTACTGCTGAAAAGTCGGTTGCTTCTCTGACAGAAGAGCTTGAAAAAGCTCAGCAGGATATAGCAGCTGCTAATGAGAGGGTAATATATACGTCTTTGCTTTTTTTTTTTTTTTTGTCTTATGAAATAGATGCTATTATTAAATTAGTGTTAACTTTGAAGGCTGAATTTTGCAGGCTGCCTCGCTTGACAATACACACAAGCGATTACAAGAGTACATCCTGAGTCTTCAACAGTACAACTCCAAATTAATCACTGACCTTGAAACAGTCCGTGAGTCACTCAAACGAGTTGAAAAGGAGAAACTGACAATAGTGGAGAATCTTAGTACTTTAAGGGGCCACTGTAGTTCATTGCAAGAACAATTAACCTTGTCAAGAGTAAGTTTTCATGTCAGCCTGTTCTATAATTTTTCTTTGTTATCATATTTAGTTTTTTTCCCCTTCATGTTGTGTTTCAAGTAATTAAATTAAGTTTGGAGAATTTCTTCAATTGGGGTCGTTGGATTTTATTTAATCATTTGTAATTTTATGGTTGAGACAGATTTTTCATGATGACTAATTCTGAACTCACAAAAATTTTATCGGGGTCTTTTGTGCACTTTTTTCTGTTATTCTTCCCAACTTTAGTGATTCAACCCTGGTTTTATTTAATAGCTGGTTTGCCACAAACGTGTGTTCACACTTCCTACCTGTTCCTTGCATTCTGTAGCACTGAGGTTTGCGTTGAGACAACAAATATCATATTCAGTAGATTTTGAATCTTTTGGATCTTATCATCTCAGGCTTCACAAGATGATGCTGTTAATGAAAAGGAAACATTAGTTAATGAAGTCAAATGCTTACGAGGAGAACTACAACAAGTGAGGGATGATCGCGATCACCAAGTGTCAAAAGTGCATGCCTTATCTGCTGAAATTGTGAAGTTCAAAGAAAGTACTGGAAAATCATTTGCAGAATTAGATAACTTGACAATGAAATCAAAGTCCTTGGAGGTACGTTGGTTTTATTTGTTACAAGTAGTAAAATCCATTTTGGCAAGCTTTACTACATGCTAGGTTTCTTTTGCAGGAGACATGCTCTTCTCAGAGGGAGCAAATAAGAATACTGGAGCTTCAGCTTGCAGCTGCAAATGAGAAACTAAAGGTACCAATGATTTTGCTTAAAATCTAGACACAGTTTATTGTGTTTTATCTTGTTTTGCAAAAAATATCTTCAATATAGTTTAATGTCATAGATTGTATTTCTTTCCTGTCTCTAGATGGTTGACTTGTCAGCTTCAGAAACAAGGATGGAATATTTAGAACAGAAGAGAATCGTACAAGAACTACAAGATCGGCTGGCAGATATGGAACATAAACTTATTGAAGGAGAGAATTTGAGGAAAAAGCTGCACAATACTATTTTGGTACTGCTGCTTCATCGCCCTTTTTTTGTTGCTTGTAATGCTGTAATGATACTAAGTTATTTTTAATTACAGGAACTAAAAGGGAACATTCGAGTATTTTGTCGTGTACGTCCTCTTTTACCAGATGATGGTGCAGCAGAAGGGGCAGTCGTCTCTTATCCTACATCAATGGAATCTCTCGGCCGTGGCATTGACTTGATACAAAGTGGTATAAACATTTGCGTTCTTTCTTTGTTACCCAATTTCTGTTTAATATCAAAGGCAACAATCTTAATCATTTTTATCTTACTGTGAACAGGACAAAAGTATCCTTTCACATTTGACAAGGTTTTCAATCATGAGGCTTCACAGCAAGATGTTTTTGTGGAGATATCCCAGTTGGTACAGAGTGCCCTTGATGGATATAAGGTGATTTAGCAACTTTGTGGTCTTGTTTGTGCACATTTAGGTCAATCTTTTTACTGCACTAGCAATATAATCTACGGTGACTGGCGGGTAAGAAATTTTTTTTTTTAATCCAAAATTGAAGAAAATCTAACTTTAAAGCTAGGTGATTTCTTTTGCACACGACTTTTCTTCTTTGAAGCTGAATTCTACAGTGTTTATGGTGATAGCTGAGTAATCACTTGTAATTGTCTACGATTGCTATCTGATCTCCATCATTTGCCCTTTGATGCGAAGAAAATATGCATTCATAGAGTGTTGGTGGTTTGTTTTTTTTGGCAGGTTTGTATATTTGCTTATGGACAGACAGGTTCAGGTAAGACGTACACCATGATGGGAAGGCCAGAAGCCCCAGAGCAACAAGGGTTGATACCGCGTTCATTGGAGCAGATATTCCAAAGTAGTCAGTCACTGCAAGCCCAGGGATGGAAATACAAAATGCAGGTAATTCAATTTGGTCCTAATTTCCACTTATTACATTGGCTAATCATAGTTTTAACCATATCTTGCTAAAATTTTTAGGCTTCAATGTTGGAAATATACAATGAGACCATCCGCGATTTGTTATCAACCAATCGATCAATTAGTTCAGATCCAGTACGCCCAGAAAGTGCAGTTTCTGGAAAGCAGTACACAATTAAACATGACGCAAATGGTAATACATATGTCAGTGACCTGACAATTGTTGATGTTAGCAGCTTAACAGAGATTTCCTCGCTTTTACGGCAGGCTGCTCAAAGCAGGTAAAATTGCTTAGAGTCTTGGTGATTATTGCTATAATATTCTGTAGATTATGTCTTGCCTTATGCATCTACCCTAGTTTGAATTTGTTTCTACAATGTTATGTTGGAATTATAACTGTTCCAGAAATTATTTCCCAATTGAATGAATTTGGATGAAAGAGTTAGTTCCTTTTAAATTACTTAATGTTATAAACTATGAAATGTTTATGAATGATGACAGAGTTAGATGCCAAGTGTGCATGCCAATAAAACAAAACTTAAACAAAAGCAATAAAAGTTTGTCTCTGATATATAATGTATAATGCCTTGTATGAGTTTTGTTCTCAATGACCATGCAATAGTACAATTTGGAAGTTTAAGGGGGTTATACGTTTCTGTTTTGCAGGTCAGTGGGCAGGACACAGATGAATGAACAATCGTCGAGAAGTCACATGGTTTTCACATTAAGGATATCGGGCATAAACGAGGTAAATATCCTTCCTTTTAATGCTTCTTTGTTTTATGTTGAATCTCTTGATAACCCTCTTTCCTCTGTATATCGACATTTCTTTTCTTTGTTCTGTTAGGGCACTGAGCAACAAGTGCAGGGTGTCTTGAACCTCATTGATCTTGCAGGAAGTGAGCGACTGTCAAGGAGTGGCGCAACTGGAGATAGGTTGAAGGAGACACAGGTGTTTAACGTACCACTGGATTTGTCTGTTCCGTAAATTAATCTTTATGTTGTTATGCTGACCTCTTTCCATGAAACCAGGCCATAAACAAGAGCTTATCGTGTTTAAGTGATGTCATATTTGCCTTGGCCAAGAAGGAGGATCATGTGCCTTTTAGGAATTCCAAGCTGACATATCTTCTCCAGGTAAAGTGCTCTTGAAGAGCTTATCATCTTTGATTGATGCCCTATTTGATGGTAACTGTGTTTTCTGATGCCTTATTACTATGATGGTGCCTTCTGAATATATCTCTTTTGTCAAGAAATTTGGGCCAAAATGAATTTGGTATTAGTTATGCTGTTTTATATTCTAGAATCATTTTGTTTTCAATGAATCACTGCATTCCTTTTAAATTTATTTCCATCGATAAACAGCCTTGTCTTGGTGGAGATTCGAAAACTCTTATGTTTGTGAATGTATCGCCGGATCCTTCTTCCGTGGGTGAATCGCTGTGCTCTCTCCGCTTTGCTGCTAGAGTGAATGCATGTGAAATTGGAGTTCCCCGCCGTCAGATGACCTTGCGGCCAGCTGATTCGCGGTTGAGCTGTGGCTGAAGTTATGATTATCACATTCTTTTATAACTAAAGTAACTATTTTAGTAATTGAAAGGATCATGCTTTGTAATGATAGATTCTGCTTGAGCTACTACTACTAACCTGTATTCTTAGATTTATACTGTTTCTGATGGATGGTTATGATAGGAAAGTTCCAATTTGTTGTTGGCTTGGCACAAAGTAACTCTAATTGTTGTATGATAAAGTTCATTCTTTGATGAACACAGAAACAAAGGAATTCTTCTATGTTTTATCTGAGTACAAGTTTTGTTGAGAAAATTGAAAATATACCTTTCTATTAAAAACACAAGAAAAGTAGGGATATTTTTGTAAATGAAACTATTTATACCATTGGCTTTTAGTGGAAATGGAATAAGTTGGTGAGATATTTATTTGGGATAGGCATCGGAGGAGGAAGCTTCTTCAAGTTCGAAATTAAAAAAAAAAAAAATTAATGTGATAAGTGGGAATATGACAAAATTTAATAAATCAACAAGTGGGAAGAGATGGGCCTAGCCGCCTAGTGTTTCATAGTCCAAGGATTTTCCTTGTTGGAAGCAAAACAACGAAGCATCAAAGAGGATTGCCCAGGAAGGTAAACGAGAGGGAAGAAAGAGATGGAGACACAAGAGCAGCAGAACAAGTCTAGAGTTGTGAAGGTTGACTCTGTTGAATCCTGGGAGTTCTATGTTAACCAAGCTACAAATCAAGGCTGCCCAGTAAGCTTTTCAATTCTTTCATTTTATATGTTTAAAATCTCTCTATTAGTAATATTTTTGGCTTTGCCCTGTCCCTTGTCATTGTTCTTGAAAACAATCTTAAATCCACTACTATCTGCCCCCTTGAATTCTTCTCTTATGAAAGTTTAGTATCCGCTATTCAATTTCTTTTCATTCATGGTCTGTTGATCTCAAACCCTGTTGTAGATTGTTGTACACTTCACTGCTTCATGGTGTATCCCTTCAGTGGCCATGAACCCCTTTTTTGAAGAACTGGCCTCAGCTTTACAAGATGTTCTGTTTCTCACTGTTGATGTTGATGACGTTAAGGTAAGAATCTTATAAACTCTTGAGATTCTGTTCAGATGTGGGTTTTATATTATGGGTTAGCATTAGAATTGAATTGTTACCTTACACACAGAAAGTAAAAATTTAGAATGAAGATAGAACTGTTATAATACAAGTGGAGAGTGAGTTCATTATCTTCTTCCTCCTTGACATTTTGATACATGTACCTTTTGATTGCACATTATTTTGTAACAGCAAGCTTGGTATGGTGAAGATGTGTTAGAATTATGTTCTATCTTTTTTTAACTTTACAAAAGAGATGGCAGTATGAAGATAAGGAAAGAGATTGCAAGTATTAAGATTTGAACCTGATTCGTTTGGATGCCACCTCGTAAGATTGATTACATGAATCGATTGAGTTAAGCTTTGAGTTCGAATTCATATTCTATTTATTGAATATAATTATTGTGACTGTGGGTGATATGGTGAAGATGTTCCAGACTCGTCTTTAGAGACATCTGAAGGTGAGGATAAGTATCATCCTTTAATAATAACGTCGGTTTTTCTTGTTAGTGCTAGGTACAATGACCACTAAATAATCATGTTCACTGTCGGCCCCCTGGTTTTTGAGATGTCTGAATATTTCAGATGTCCTTTTTCTTTCTTTTTTTGATTGGTTGGGGGGGGGGGGGGGAGAGAATATTTCTTTGGTGATTTTTGATTGTTAGTTCATATTATGCTCCATCTTTCATTCCATATTAGGTTTCTGGTTTGGTCAAGTTGTTTAGTTATTATCAGCGGGATGTCCCTATCTAATGTGCAGATTGGTTGTCATAATGTTTTTTAGTTTTGAGATTTGCCTTTTAATTGTTTGGTATTAATCATGTAGATGACTTTGAAAATTTCTTTATTGGTGGAAATATTAGGAGGTAGCAACGAGGATGGAGATCAAGGCCATGCCAACGTTTTTACTGATGAGGGAAGGTGTTGTAGTTGATAAGCTAGTCGGTGCAAATCCAGAAGAGATAAGGAAAAGGATTGATGGTTTTGTGCAGTCCATTCGTGTATATGTTGCATAGTATCAATGCTTGTGATTTTATACATCTTTGAACGTGTAAAATTATATGTGGTTGTCTTGTTCATCTAAGACCAAGAGACTGTTTGCATCATTGAAGCAGATGATGTTTTGGTGATTGTTATTGTCTTGTAAGGATAAAACAGAGAATAGGATTTTCATTTGTAGCATTCTTTCCACAATCTTCATCCTGTTGAAAAGAATATCTGATGCAGTTGGACCAATTTGTTGTATAAAGCATAAACAGCGAATTCTCACGTTGGGCTTGTCAATTGGTGAAGTTAAAGGGGTTGAAACCTGTACTCCTGGTGGGTCTTGTTGGTGGACTATAAATCGGCATGGTCTCTCTGTCTGTGACTATGACCCGTCCCCAAATCATCTCTTTTCACTTGCTTCATCGTGTGTCTCTCGGTAAATGTAGGAGCTATCAGATAGAATTGGTCAAAACCAAACCCATTCCAAGGCAGAAAGTGACCCTGCTCTTTATTTTGCATATGGTGGCCGGTGACGGCGGTGGAAGTGGAATGAAAAACAATTGCTTTAGAAAGGAAAATTAATGTGGACTTTCTCTCAAATCCCTATCAAATCCCAACGCCAAATCCAAAGAAAATATTCCTTACCTTCTTCCATCATCACAATCTGCCCACCCAAAATTCGCCAAACCAATCAAATTCACTCGTTCCATATATCTCTCTCTCTTCTTTTTTTTTTTTTTTTTTCACATTTGGAATAACTCATCTACCGCGTGGTATAACTGAATCCTTGCCGGGGATATGGTATCCCGGCAACCAAACGAGGAGGACCTGGTTTCCTTGGAAAATCCCAACACATGGATATTCCATGATTATGGTTTGTTAGAAGATATTCCTGTCTCTGATGGTGATATTCCCTCACTCGACCCTTCAGCCTTTATCTGGTCATCACACCCCCTTACTTGCTCTACTCGTCTCAGGTTCCTATCTTTTCCTTTTTTTAATTGTTTATGAATGTCAAATGAAATGGAATTGGATGTATTTGATTGTCTCATGTTTGATCAACTGTAACTTTAAGTAGGTTTCAACTTCAAGTATGGATTTTCCCAACAGTGCGGTACTCAAAGCAATTGCTTTTGACTTTTGTAGTTCTTTTTCCATGTTTCCTGTCGGTTTAGTATAATTTTTCTGGCCACATGGTCTGTCGTGGCCCGGTTGCTCCTTCAAGCTAGGCTATGTTAATTTCTCATTGTACTTTACACATGCTCATTAATCTTTCTTGATATTCCTACAGTATTGAATTTAATGAATCGTTTGGGAATTCAGACAATCTTAACGAAACAGGCTTCCGAAAACGGTATACAGCTACTCATTCGTTAATTTTTTTATTGAATTTGTTTACTCTATTTTTATAATGCAGTTTCCGGTTTGACATCTGCACCATTTTATTCTTTAAGCTTCGGCCCAGTTTTAGTGTAATTGTGCTTGAATTTGTCCCTTGGTTTCATACCAGGACTCCTGTACTAATCTCTTCACTATTCGCAGGGTGAGGCCTGGAACTTACACTGCATCTGGCTCTAAAGCTTGTAGGGAAAAGATGCGAAGGGATAGGTTGAATGACAGGCATGTTTGGTTACCCCGATTTCTCTCCTTTTCAACTCATTCTGCCTTCTCTGATATTTGCATTTTCAATATCTCAAGGTTCCTGGAATTGGGTTCTATCCTAGATCCTGGAAGGCCTGCCAAAGTGGACAAGGCTGTTATTTTGGTTGATGCTGTTCGGATGGTTACTCAGTTACGGGATGAAGCTCAGAAACTGAGGGAGTCAAATGAGAGTCTGAAGGAGAAGATTAATGAGCTAAAGGTGAGCCTGGATTTTGATGTTCATTTATTCTATGTTCTATTTGCCAGTATACATGGACAAGTGATGCGTGTTTAAAATTTTATTTGATGCATCAGTAATTAAATTTCCTGGAGAATTAGGTGGCTTGAGTGTTTAACTCATCTTGGTTGTGCTGATGAGAGTTTTATTTTGTAGGCTGAAAAGAATGAACTTCGTGATGAGAAACAGAGGCTAAAGACTGAGAAAGAGAATCTTGAGCGGCAAGTCAATGCCTTGGGTTCTCACCAGGATTCCTACCTCATCCTCCTGCTATTCCAACTCCATATTCTACCCCAAGCCAAGTTGTTGGTGGCAAGGTGGTGCCCTTTGTTGGCTATCCTGGAGTTTCCATGTGGCAGTTCTTGCCTCCTGCTGCTGTTGACACATCACAGGATCATATTCTCCACCCTCCAGTCGCATAGGCTGGCAGGCTATTGTTTTGGCTCTGCCTTAGCACAAAAAACCATTGTTCTAATTATATCTGTCATTGATCTTGGTGGTTTTTCTCTTTGGTCTGTACTTTCTACTCCCCTTGTTTGGAAGAGTACGAGAGAAGCCATGTTGTGGTAAGCTTGGAAGTGAAACTCTCATCATTCATTGCTCGGATAACTTATAATTTTGTACAACTGAATTTTGGTCAATTATGTTGCCAAGTCTTTGAAGCTAGGTACGCGAAAAGTTAGAAAGAAGGTGAATTATATATTTGTAGGATCTTCCAGTTACCCAGTTTGTGTGATTTACTTAGAAGTAAAACTAGCGTATTTATTTAAATTTGAGTTACCTTTCTTTTTTTTTTTTTTTTTTTTGCTGCATTCATTGATAGAATCCGCCATTTGATCAAGTTGCCTGGTGATATTCCATGAAAATATGGTCCTATATGGGAAATGGAGTAAAAAGGAATTGGAAAGGCCAACTTCTATTTAAAGTTTGCCTTGGTTTAGGCGTTGGAGCAAAAGTGGACGTGACAAGTTTGCCCCATACAACGTTGTCAAGACAGTGGAAGCCTCTCTTGCTTTCATAAAACTACCTCTTCATTTTAAAGCTCAAATTTCAGACTTAGTTCGTTATCAAACAAGTTTACAAAAATGATTTCAACAAGGTAGTTTGAATCCCATATAACTCCCTGATGAGTAGTCCTCCCAAACATCAAGAGCTCCCAAGCTAGTCATCATAATAGAACTCAGAGCCATCACTATACCAACTGAGAACACGATTAGGGATGCCCTTCCCAACTCTTTGATGGCTTTCTGCGCCACCACCAATCCAAGAAGCGATGCGACGAAACAAGTGACTGAAAATATGAGGGCTGTGGTGGTGTGCTCCATGCCTGACAATAAGTATTGGAAGGCAGACATGGTGGATGAGAAGAAAACCATGAAAGAACAAGTAGCTGCTGTTACCTGCATCAAATGATCATTAAATCATTACTTTTTGCTTCTGCCCTGGAAAGAATATGGAACCCTATAATGGTTGAATAAAGGAGAAGTGAGTGTTTACCTCAGGGGCTACCCCAACCTGAAGAAGAAGTGGGCTTATAAGCATTCCACCTCCAATTCCAAAAACTCCACCCAAGCCTCCAGCCAGTAGCGCCATTAAGGGGAAAATAAGCGTGTTAACCCCCTTAAAAAATAAAGGAAAAAATTGATTTTTATATATATTTTCTCAATTTAAGTTATCTGGTAGGCGGTAGCTATTAGATTTTGTAAATAAATTTGTTAAGCACCTGCTTATTTGGACCCTGGCATTCGATGGCCTCTTTTCTACTAAGGATCCATGCAGTAAAAGCTAGGGCAAGAGGAATTTGAAATAATGAGACTGTCCAATATCCTACTCCACAAGGCTTCATTGGTATGATACCCTGCACGTTTCTTGAACACGCCATGATTTATACATGGATTGAAGATCATCCCCATCATTCCATGTAGTTCTAATTTTTTAAACAAGAGTGAAAACATAAAAACAAAGTGATAAAAACTTTGGTACTTACTTTTAAAAGATTGAGGCAGAGTAAGATTCAAAACAAAATTCAATTTGTAATTGGTTTGATTGGATGTATACTTTCTTAGTGTAATAACTGAGATTAACATTAATAGAGAAGTGGGCAGATAGTGCTCTGTCAAAGTCGAATACTTGGACCATGAATAGTTGGTGTAGCTCATTCCTCGTCATTTTCACTATCTGTAATCCAAAGTGAGATAGCTTTCACTTTGTAATTGTGGGTTTCGTGTAAAGAAAGAGACACTGGCCTATAATCAAATCCGGGTCATTGTCAATTATTCTAACTATTAAAACTTCATTTAGATTAACGCTTGGTTAATTAGAGCATATATGGCATATTCTGTTCTACTTTTATGCATTGATGATGAGTATCGATGAATGGAGATAGATACCAAGGGACCAAGAAGCTTGTAGAAATTCCTGAAGTAGATGGAAGACCTTTATCAGCAACCTTTAATTTTGAGATATCTTTTATAAAGGAAAGAAGGTATATACAGAAAGATGATTAGCTGAATCCCACGAGATATTCTAACAGAATCTTTAAAAGGTGCTCAATGAAGAATTTTGTGACCGAGACATCATGAACTAACGTATAGTAATGCTTTTTCTTCTAAAGTATCAGATTATGCATCTCCAAAAACGGTTTAGTCGTAATGATGAAAAAGAAACAATATTGAATTGAAAAAGCATGCAACATTTTAGAAGGAATATCAGATATTGAGACAAGAAGCAGCACCTGTCCATAGCGATTGCCACGAAGGAGATTGATGATAAAGAAGGAAAACCAGACCATAATTAAGACCAACAATTTCTTCCATGGAAACCTAGATTTTTCTTTACCTTCCGTACCCACCAGAGGTTCTTCTAGACTCTTAATCTCTCCACTTTCTCCACAAGTTCCATTTTTAATCACCCCAATTTCCAATCTTTCACACCCATTTCTAGTTTCTTGATGCTGATCTGACTCCATTTTCCAAAACCCGACCCCATTTCTACAAGTCTTAAAGGTAGAGAAAACAAGGAAAATGGCGAATAAGATGGTGATCAACCACTCTGGTAAGACAAGGTTGCAAACTACTCCAACACTTACTCCTAATAACATGCAGGGCTCTGACAAAAGTACTATATCATAGTCAATCAAATTCTTACCCCCAAACTTGGCACTTTTGGTACGCAAGTTGTACATAACATTTGCAATTGATCCTCCCGTGACCATAAAAGCTGAGAAACTTGAAGCAGTTTTGAGGTCTAGACCTGCCACAATTGTCAGAATGGGAATAAACAACCCTCCCTCACCAATACCTCCCGCACTGGATATGGAGGCAGCTATAAAGCAGAACACTCCTGCTAGCGCAGTAGAGGCTGACAGTTTCAGTTTGTTTCCCTGGAATTTTATGAGGCGACTTTTCCATTGGAGAGTTTTGTTGACGAAGCTGCCAATCGTGAGATCATCTAAAATAGGTTGCGTTTGTGTTAAATGGGATTGGCTCTGGCTGATGAGGATGATGAAAATAGGAAGGGTGAGTGAAACCCATCTTAGCAAAACATGGATCTTCATTTGCTGGAAGTTGTTTGGTGGTGATGTTGGTGTTTCTGTCCCTCGAGAAGGGAGCTGTGTTGTGTAGAAACAAGAGTCTTACGAAATGTTATTATATAAGGCTGATAGCATATTGATTCTTGAATTGGATGACAGTTTCGTGAAAACAACAAAAGGACAAGATCAATTTCAAAAATTATTTTAATTAAAAACAATATAATATTCATTCGTGATTTGCTTTATTGATGATCAGCTCCATCTCAATCTACCCTTTCATTACTTTAATCTGGCAATATAATATTAATTTCATATAGGCCATGTCTAAGAGAAATATGAAAAAAAAGGGAAAAAAAAAACTATTTGCCGATTGAATTGGATAGGAAAAATAGTGATCTTGTCTTTGAATTTGGAGGAATCAAATCATGAATGTTTTGAATCTTTAATTTTATCAAATTATCTCAAAATTTCTACCTTTCATTAATATTACAAATAAGAAAGCACCTGAAATATAATACTAGATGGGGTGTCGTTTTTTTTTTTTTTGGCCAGTCGATGGGGTGTCGTTAATTCACTCGAATTCATTCCCTGTGTCTTCAACAAGGTTAGTTCGACGCAGGTTACATGGGAAGAAGGGAAAACCACAGGAAGTTTCACTATCAACTCAAAGAATACCTGTATAAACAAAAAAAAACCGGTTGCAGGGGCAGATATTATCCTCTTGTTTAATTTATAAAGGATGTTCCTCACAACTTGTCCCACGTCCTTTTCATTTTTAGGTCACAAAATTGTACTAATAATTATGATTCACCCATTCGCATATGAAATCCATACCATGAAATGTTGAAATTTTGATGTGATGAAAGAGAATATGAGATTTAAAATTGTATTGATCTCAATTATTTTTCACTTATAATGACTAGCTGGTAGAGGAATTCGCATCGAAAAAATAAGCGGTGCACGAAATTTAAAGGAGAAAAAGTTGATGGGTTGGTTTAGGATTTTGATGGCCACATTGGTAATGGGGGATGCATATGTGGTATATGCTGATGGGAAAGACAGCCAGAGACCTCGCAATGTCTTCCCAACAAGGTGACCTGGTTGGTAATTGATAATGATTCGAGAGATGTTAATTATTTATCTACTACAAATCTACTAAGAGATCTTGGATTTTGACAAATCTAGAAACCTCGCAATATCCTCTCAACTGGAATGGGCCAAATCCCGCCTTGACGGGCCCATGATTCGCCTAGCTCTCTCCAAAGGATCCCCTGGAATAAAATTCGACCCAAGTAGCTAACTATTGATCTTCCAACGGGAAAAGTTCAGGCCTGATATGCACATATACAGGGTTTGGATTGCTAAAGATCGCTATCAAGTTGAAGCAATCACCATACAAAATGAAATCTAATGGAGAACCCACTAGAGTTCTACGGTGTAATATAAAATTCAAATGTCAAATTGTTTAGCAACTCGGAGAACTTATGGATGTGGATAACTAGATATGGATGAAAAGAAAGGGAAATATCACTTTCATTTTAGGCCAATCAGGCTAGAGATGATTCATAGTGTGAAATCGATCGATTTCTTTATGTCAAAGTTGATATTAGTGCTACCATGCGTCAAATGTACATACATTCATTTTTATCTTGACTTCTTTCTTTGCTAAATATTAAAATATTACATATGGCCGCCATTAAATTCGTAAAGATACTTTTTATCATTTGTCGATTAATTATTGGTTTACATTTTCACGCTTACATGAGGATTGCTTTTTGCTCGAGCTTTTCAGAAAAAGTGAGCAGATAACTGTTTGTTCATCATTTTTTTGGCAGAAAGAAGAAGCATCAGAAGCTGTAAAACATCTCCCAGGAAACAAAAACAGTAGTTCCATGTTAATGATTACGGGTTTTGATAATGACTCATTTGTGCATTTGTGATTACAAATGCACAATTATATCTTTTTTTTTTAATTATTTAAAATGCTCACTTTTTTTTTTTTTTTAAAAGAGAAGATGCAAATTTGTCTTATTTGCTCATTACATCGTGAAATATTCAAAGCTGACATACCTAAAGTTGATAGAGTAATAGGTGGCAGATATCCTAGTTCTATCAGATTTTCCAGTTTAGGCCATGATCGAGCGATATGGATCAAATTGGTTCCGCCATTAAAATCAAATCAGTGGTCCAGGGTAACATGCCAAGAGGCATCTCTTCTTTTTATCCACCTAATTGATGCAAAGAAACTCCTGCCACAAGTGACCTACTTTTTCTTTGTGGTTAAAATTTAAGAAAAAATGATAGATGCTTTTTTGAAAATAATAAAAAGATGAAAGAGTTAACAATGAGAAAATGCCAAATTTAACAGGCCTATATAATTTTTCACATAGGATTACAGGAAATCTGGGTATTAATCAAGGGGCTTAAAGACTCTTGATTACCTCCTTAATTAGTTAATAAATAAAATAAAATAAAATAAAATAATTCATTAGGCATGTCCGCACATTCAGGAAAAAGTAGGTTTCAGCATGGTTCCTTTTTGAGCATTATTGCAAATTCATGTTCATCCATCAAGAAATTAATGTCTTTTTTTTTTTCTTTTCATTTGAACTTTTGACTGAGACAGCCTTATATTAATCTAATAAACCCTTTATGATCGCTATATGGCACTTATGAAATGCTTACAATCTGCCCATTTTCTTTAAAGTTTGGTCCCTATATGATTAATTTTTGTCAGAAATAATGCAGCCTTCTTTTTGTAATCTCTGAGGCTTTGGATTCTTAGTTTTGGAAAGATTTCAGATTTTGCAAGGCTGAACCTTCAGAGTACATCAAAGCGTTTTCAGAAGCTTGAATTTTTGGACTTTATAATAATTTTTTTTTTCTGTTTTTGCTTCATTTTTGCTTCATTTTTGTTCTAGTTTTTAGTAATGTGAAATCTTTAATTATTTCCAAAGAAAATGGGAGAAAATTATGTCCCAAATGCTGCCCTGTGCTTGCATCCTAGCCTATAAGACACCGTTGATTGCCTTTTGACTTAAAAATGCCTTGGATTCTTGCAATATAAAAAAGAACCCATCTTAGTTCTATGATCTTAATCAAACTTACTATCATTAGTACTTATCCAAAGTTTTGGTTCTTTACTGCTTTTGGAGAATTGAGGTAAAGATATACTCAAGTATCTGCAACTAGTTGCAGTTGACTTCTAAATCTGTTTTGGCTAAGAACATAATTGCTTGCCTGGCATCAAAAGTTGAAGAGTTGACCTTTAACAAGCAAAAGGAACAGATATAATCATTGTTTTGATTGTTTGACACTAATTCAAGATTAATTGAAGCCAAATGGCTCAGATCTAGCTCTTAGTCTTTTCCGTTGGGCAACATAGATATAAATGAGTTACAGAATTTAGAAATGCTAGATTTCAATGTGCCAAGTTTCATTATAGTTTTAGTTTTCATGTTGTCACTTGACATATGCCATGCTGATAGCAATGTGAATTCTGGTTGGCAGTGTTCAGAAGCTGATAATTCTACATCTGAAAAATCATTCATGATCAATCTTGGCAACCTACTGAATATACTAACTGAAAATGGGCCTCTCCGCAACGGCTTCTTTAAAACCACAGTAGGAAGGAGATCAGGGAAGATTTATGGTCTAGTGCAATGCAGAGGGGATGTTTCTGCAGAAAACTGTGCCAATTGTACAAGGGAATCTGTTGCAGTAGCCTTACATAATTGCTCAAAGAGCAAAAAGGTTCAGGTTTGGTTCACATGGTGCTTTCTTCGCTATTCAAATGAGCATTTTTTTGGTGTTTGGGATCAATCTTCGATGGCAAGAGTCAATGACACCAATTTTGATGATGTTTCTGTTGTCTCCAAAGGACTCATCTTTATGAGAGAAGTTGCAATAACAGCACCAAAGCAGCCTTTGATGTTTCACACTGCAGTGTTGGATGCTGGGCAATTTGGGAAGAGGTATGGCATGGCTCAATGTACCAGAGATATTATTAGAACTGACTGCAGCAAGTGCTTGGATACTCAGCTAGTGACATTTAGAACCACGATTGGAAATAAGAGAGGATGGGAGGTTTACGGGTCCAGTTGTAGCATGTGGTACCATGATTACCAGTTTTTTTCCAACATTTCCATCCCTACAAATGATGGTGAGTTGTGATTGCTTTGATCAGTATTCTCCCTTGATGGAGACAAAGTTTTTTGTATTTGTTGCAATCTCTACTGCATAACGTTAATTAGAAGTTTAATGTAATGCTTGATATTATTTTGATAATAAATGAAACTGAACCATTTCTGTGATGCTAAAACAGGTGCTAGGAGAGTCTCCTTGCAAGGAGTTGCAATTGGCATATCAATGGCAGTCCCATTGTTTTTAATTTTGCCATAACCATTCATTGGCTATTCAATTATGCTATTTTGAAGGTCAAAACCAAGGTCTGTAACCAACAAATTTTCATCATATAGTAATTTCTATCCATGCAGAAAGGTTCACTAATACCAGCTGTACATAATGTAAAGCCAACTTTCCTGAATCTGGCAATTTCTCTTGTTATTGATTTTTTTTAGGCTTTTAATCCTTTTCTTTGGCACTGGTTCTTAATTTTTGAGCTATTCCTGACAAATATGTCAGTAGAAAGTACCTTCGTCCTTCTCACAGATAGATATGGGAAGCCTGAGCTATGCAGAAGTCAGCGAGGACCTGATCAAAGGGAAATTTGATAGACAATAGCCTTTTTTGAAGAAGAAAAAGAGGGTAAAACCAATCCGTGACACGAGAACAAAAACGAAGAGTGATAAATATGGCTGAGGAAGAGGCTTGACAAGTCTCAGATGAAGTGCTAGAATGAAGAGTTGGTATTGCAGAATAAAGAAGAAATGAAGAATGGGAGCCCCAAGGACCCAGTTGTAGTGCATTGTACAGTTTATCTGGTGCTTTTTCTATGCCCTGGCAAATCAGAGTCACAACTCATGAGTGGTGGGTGAGTCACCTATAAAGTCCTTGATGATTGCTGTTAGTTTCCAACATAAGGTTTTTTCAATTTACGAATGGTTAATTTTGCTCGAGATTATTTACCACATACATGGTAATTGGAAATTCATTCTATACTTTCCATATCACTTTGTCATCACTTTGCATACACATTCAGCCTGTTGTCTCCTCTGGTTTCAAAAATTGTTGTTAACATTTCCTGCCAAAACAGGTTGTCAACTGGGGGAAAGACTTTCTCTAATGATGTTGCAACTTCCTTTTTATTTTTCTTTGAAGAATTCAGGAATCCTATTACAAATCTAGGGATTTACTTTATAATATCAATTCTACACTTGTACAGTATGCAAACTACCAGTAAAGCTAAAAGTAGTATCATATGAAGAATGTAACTACAGCTTCCTTTTAATTTGTATCTGCAAGCACATAATGCACCATTCTTCCAAAAAATAATTATAATCAGAATTGTCAACAGTGAAGTCCATCTCTTAAATACTCTTTAAATACTTAAATCTCTGAGCTAGGAAGATGCAGTGGTTGAAGACTGATCAGATGAAAGAAACCCTGTCCCGGTCCCAGTAGTTGAAGATTGATCCAACATTGTGACAAATCTTGCTGCAGAATATGGAGGTGTCGATGGCTGGGGGAGATTGACTGATCTGCTCCCAAGCATGAGAACAACTGATGACATTGTAGGCCTCAATGCAGGGTCATCCTGAACACACAGCAATGCAATGTGTATCCATCTTAGAACCTCGTGAATAGGACAATCATCAGCAATGTTAGGATCTATCAACTCCAGTCCTTTGCCTTCATTCCATAGCTTCCATGCCTGCTCAGGGCCATATATAACAAAGTCCTAATTAGGAAAGAAGCCTTAATTTAGTTACAGGGAAGAGATAATGAAGAGAGGATGCCTACATATGTTAGAAGGATTTGGCCGCCGTCCTGGTCGTAGAATCCCCTGTTCTTTTTACCACTTAATATTTCTAGCATTAGGATTCCAAAGCTGTAAACATCAGACTTGTTTGAAAACAACCCTTCTAGCGCATATTCTGGTGCCATGTATCCACTGCATTGGAAAGTAAAACACTAAATCTAGGACTTATAAAGTGAAGTAACCTGCTATGAGCAAAATAAATCTTGACAGCACACGATTATCACCGGAGTTTCGATGTGATAATTGATCTTATGAATTTGGAATCTTTTTGCCCCCTTTTTCCATTTCAATTGAAATTTGGTTAAACATAATTAGAGGCATAACACAGAGGACTTCACCTCATCCTGACAATGTTTAGCAACAATGAATGTGCGAGTGAAGGAACAAAATGAAGTACTTACTATGTGCCAACAACTCTCTCAGTGTTGGCTTCCATTTGATTGCCTCCAAATATTCTTGCGGTGCCAAAGTCTGATATCTTAGGGTTCATATCATCATCTAACAAAACATTGCTTGCCTTCAAATCCCTATGGACTATTTTAAGCCGAGAATCCTCATGTAGATATTGGAGGCCCCTAGCAGTTCCAATAACGATGTTTGACCGTTTTCCCCAGTCCAGTAGCTTGCATTTTTCTGGATCTGCCTTCAGAAAAAGCATATGAGCAAAGTAAAAAATCTTGTACCAAATATTCATTTTTCACATGCACACTCAAAAGCACTTATATGGACCAAACTTGAGCATATGCAGTTCATCTCATAGATATTTGATAAAGGAAAACAAGAATCATCTAACATAAACTTGACATGTGAGAGAAAGAGGGAGCAAACCAAACAGAAAGGCATCCAAGCTTGTGTTAGCCATGTATTCGTAGACAAGAAGCTTTTCATCTTGCTCCAAGCAATATCCCAGTAGCCTCACAAGATTTTTATGTTGAAGCTTAATAACTAACTTCACTTCATTCTTGAACTCTTCAAGACCCTGTCTTGATCTCATCGAAAGCCTTTTAACTGCTATTTCCTTCCCATTGGGCATTTTTCCCTGAAAGCATTTTACAGTTAGTCATTCAAAGAAAAATTGCCATACAATTTTAAAAGTGCTCTTCTATTCTGTCATTGAGTGGAACGTGCACACATGTTAAATGTGCATCCAAGCAAAGAACTACTTTCAACCTTGTAAACAGGGCCAAAACCACCTTCTCCAAGCTTATTTTCCGTGGAGAAGTTGTTTGTTGCAGCCTGCATGGTAGCTAAATTGAAGTGATGCATCTCTCCGCTGTGATCCTCATCTGATAGATGAATACCTGCCTCCATCAAATGTGCGGGCTTTGAGCCTTGATAGCTTCTTAGTAAAATTTCTTGGCTTGTTTCTCCATCTGAGTATCGAGAAATAATGTTCAAACTTTTTGGGAAATCAAATTTTTGTTATATGGCCCGAAAAATAAAGTCAAAATACCTTTCTGTCTTCTCTTCCTGACTAAGGATGAATAATAAAGGAAACCCACGAGAACTGATACAAAAACACCTGCTAATGATGATACAGTGATTATTATGATCTTCGTTGTGCTGTTGCCTCCCTTACCTGCACCTGCTGTTACATTTTGGGAAGTGATATATAACTGATTAATGATTCATAGATAGGCATTGGGCTAAGTTGTCTGTTAAACAAAATATCGCAGGGAAAACCAGGACAATCTTCTGCTTCTATAGAGGGAAAGAAAAAATTGCGAGGCGATAAAATAATCCAGTTTGGCTTACCTCCATTCTCCGGTGGTGGTCCTGGTGGAGCTAATGGTTGCTCATAGAACTGGTACCTTTCGTACCTCATAAAGCAACTTGGAGTTGAAATTCGCCATCCCATTTTCTCTATGCAGCAATCTTCTGACTGATTTAATAATCCTCTCAAACAAGTAGAACATGCACTAACATCAAGATCTCTGCTGCACTGCACGAGACCATATCGACGTTCTGGTCCATTTCCCACTACCATGTCGTTTGTTTCAAACATATTTTCCGTATATGGAGCATGATCAACTAGAGGATAAATCAAACTTTTTGTACCAATATTTCCTTCATCAGGTGAAGTACTATTATTCTGGCCAGTATTCCACATTAAAAATCCCGGAAGAAGCTGCACCAGCCCAAAAAAGTTGGTGTTCGAATAGCGTAACATGCATTGATCATACCAAATGATTGCTCCTTTATCAGACGGGCACATTTGTTCGAGTGTTTGAGTAGCATTGTTGACACAAACCTGGCAATTATTGCTAGAAACATCACCTCGGCAAAGGAACAGACTGTAAATTCCATTTAAGCTATCATCATAGAAGCTGTGGTCGGAAGCTTTAGAGGATATAGAACCCAGAAGAGCTGCAAGGCTCGAATTATAACTGGCAGTGGTTGTATCATTATCTGGACCAGAACAATAATGATAATTATATGTAGCCAATGTTGGTGACTGGCATGTGATGAAGCTAATAAGCCCAAAGATAGTGATCAAGCATAAAAGCAAGGCTCTGGGTTTGTAAAGGAGAGTCATTGTTCTTTCATGCTCTATGAAAAAAAGGGTTGATCAAGAATACAGGATTTGCTTCTAGGCTATGGCTGGTGAATTTGTCTTTAAGAAAGTTGATATTTCAAAATTTAGCTTGGATTAGGTAAAAACACGTCTCTCTTTGTCAACCTTCCATGGCATCCTGTTGATTTGTTCGCCTGGATAATTACTAATAGTTGAAAAACTATACTCAATAATGTCACTGCAGCTAACATTGACCCGTGGTTCTATGAAAAAAAGTTGAGAATTAATTTTTTAAGGCCGGCAATGTAGATAACTTCTTCCGACTGCTTTTCTGCAATATCTGACACTAGTTAATCCCAAAATTAGGAATGTTCTTTGTAATGCCCGTAAAATATATATATATATATATTTATATTTTTTAAGTATTTTTATAAGTGAAGAGAGTCTTTAATAAAAAATAAAAAATATATAAGATCTATTGATAAAATACTCAACTTTTAATAGGATTAGTATTTTTCATTTGTTCGACTGACAATTGATAAAAAAAAAAAAGCTTATTTCTCTTATCTTTTTTATATAGAAAAGATAAATCAAAGGATTTTAAGTGAAGAATAAAAACAAAATCTAAAAAAAAAAATTATCTTTTAGAGGTGAGTAAATGATTTTTTTTAAATTTTAGAGAAATAATATTGATTGTTAAGTATTGAGGTGTAATTTATAATCTAAAAACTCTAAAATTTTAAGAGATCCAATATCCCTCTTTAAGATTGGTTTGAGCAAATAATTTAAACTTTAATTATGGTCTAATAAAATGTTAAGAAAGTTTAATAATGTGATTTCATTGATGTAAAAATAGGAAATAGAAATTTGATAGTGTGAGAAAAGAAAATTTTTATTTCGTTTGAACTCTGATATTTACAATGATGGATTAAGATTAAAATAAAATATTGCTATGATTATTATATACCGTTGGAAAGCTTGCTGAATTTACTGTCCAATGAAATAAACAGAAATCAATTCTGAGTTTTTTTATGAAAAGTAGTTTAATTTTTACTTAAGGATGTGCAGGTTGCCTAATAGCAATAGTAAAGTGGAATTTCAAAATTCTTCTTAATTCTTATACAATAAATTATAGATTAAGTCATATATGTTTGAAAAGCTTATTGAGTCTATTTTTTAACGAAATAGGCGGAATTGAATTTGAAGTTTCCTATGAATAAGTGTGTAAATTTTATTAGAAGGTATACATGCTATTTAACAACAGCATATGAAATAAATTTCAAAAATTATTATAATTAATCTATAAGGAATTACAAGATGGATCATATATGGTTAGAAAGCTTATCGAGTTGAGTTTCTAACACATTAAAAAGATCTTAATTCTAAGTTGCATATCTTGAAATATGACTGTTTTAGTGAAATGAGCTTAGACTATCAGTATTAATTAATTAAGTTAATCATTATTTAACTTAATTGTTTTTAGTATCATTGGTCTTGAAATGGGTTAATTAAATTTTATTATGTTGAAATTATTTTAAATAGGCTATTAATTATTTTGAGGGAAAAACTAAGTGGTAAAATCAAAAGAAGATAAGTAAAAATTCACACTCTTTGTTTATTTTTGAACTTATGTATATATGTATATTTTTAAATGAGTAAATATTTTATTTCATTATTTTCGATATATGAAAATAGAATCAAGCATATGATTATTTTATATTTTTGCTATGTAAATGATGAATCATGCCTATGAATGAAATGAGAAAATGATTTATATTTAAAGAACGATTTTATGATAACTATGTTTTTATATCTTTAAAAAGTGAGATCATCGACACCAAAACTTGTTTTACGACTTCAGCTAACGGGTAATAGTAATTAGCATAGACATGATCGTATGACCCTACTAATAGGTTATAGTAGTTAGCGTAAGGCCCTAGTTAATGGATTATAATAGTTAACAATTATCATGAGAATAAAATTATTCATACGACCAATATCATGAGTTATTACAGTAACCGTAACTAACGATAAACTAACAATAAACTAATGATTTATAATAATGATAATTTATAATGATTTTAATGGTTGATTCATGATTTAATTTGATTACGATATTTGAATGGTAGCATATTTTACAATAATTTATGAATTGATATGTTTTAATATTGATTTATAATTTACGAAATGTTTGACATAATAATAACATTGAAAATGTTTGACATTATGATTTGATGAATATTTTGAATGATCTATATAATATATATAAAAATAATACTTGATCGGGTAAGATGTGTGAACCTATACTTGCTAAGCTGTGATTTGCTTATTTTTTTTACTTTTTTTTTTAACAAATGAGTAAGTAATAAATTTGCTTAATTTTGTGAAAAACTTAAAGATCAAATAAAAAAGATTTTACTCATTGGAAAAATGTTGACTAATGAGATTTTATTAAACAGTTTTATATTTTTACATAGTTTATATTTAGATATAAAGATGTAATATTAATTGAATTAAAGATATAAATTTTACTTAATAAATTATATCAATTTATTAAAAAATTTTAAAATAATTTAAAAAAAATTTGTATTACTTTTAAATTTTATTTTAAGATAATATAATTATATTACACCTTAATATTTGAGGCATAACATTCTTAGAAAGAATGCGTCAAATCGTGGTTTTTTAATAATCTGTTGTTATCCACCATCCCCCCCCCCAAAAAAAAAAAAGAAAAAAGAATCACATTACTGTTTCTGTCTAGAACAGCAATATTATAATAGACTAGAGTATTCTCTAAATTGATAAAATTTTGAAGATAGGAAGAGAAAATATTCCACTTCAAATTTCCTGTCCTTAAAATGAAATAAACCCATCAATAATTTCTTTGTGTTTTAACCATACAATGACAACATCGTTGGAACTTTACCATGAAATGATTCATAGAATGTACAGAAAAGATGAAGGGCCTTGATTTACCACATTCTTGACGTTCTTTGTTAAATGGTGAGTTTTCCTTTTTTTTTTTTTTTTCTTTAATCCTTTTCTTGGATTGGACGTCGTGCATCATAAACAAAGTCCAAGCGAGACAGACGGACAGTAACCTGCAGGCCAAAAATTTGACTTTCCGAGTCCTATCTAAGGTGGGTAATTTAATCCGTTCTGATTCGGCTTGATTTATTTTTATATGATCAATTTTTTTTTAAATCGAATTTTAAGTCAAGTCAAATAATATTAAAAAAAAATAAAAATCAAGCTAAATTTAAATTTTAGATAAATTTAATTTGATTCAATCCGATATTATATAAAAATAATTTTTTAAATTATTTATTTATTTATTTTTATTTATATAATTATATATTTAAATATTTTATATTTAAAAAATATTTTATATTTTAAAAATAATATTTTATTAATTTTAGATCGGATCGGATATGATACGATTTATATAATATCAAATTCAAATATTAAAAAAATAAAAACAAAATTTTAAATCAAATCGAGTTCAAATTTGATAAATATAAAATCAGATCAAATTCAAGATAAGTAAAAATTCATCCGAACTCAAGATTTATTTTTCCTTATTTTTTAACTAGAAAAGTGGTTCAAATCTTCACCAAAAAGCTTTGTCGAAGAAAACAAAGTTCTCCAGAAGATTTGACAATGTCATCTTCTTTTACATAAAAGACTTTACTTTTTCTTTCCTTTTCAATCTTGCTGGAACCCTCTTGATGGTTAACCATTGTCATCTGTTAACCCAAAAAAATAAGAGCTTGGACTTGGACAACCAGCATGGGTGTCATTTTGACACCATAGGCCCTGCTTCGACATCACCCCTTCCGGCTTCCACGCCCGAGTGAAATATTAATCTCACAAGGAAAGAGATAGCAAAGAGTCAGTCTTCTTCTTTCTTGATTGAATCAAAGCAACAACTAAGCTCAATTATAAGTACTCTTTGTTACATCCATCAGCTTAGTTACTTATTCTTAATGGTCAAATCTAAAATTTTTTCCCATTTCTAATCCAACATAAAAAGGATAATAAATTAGTTATTTTTTGAAATATTGACCGTTGACAGGCTCTCTATGTTTATTTGAATTAATAAAATATCATTTGTCTAAAAAATAAAATGGTACAAAGAATTAATTAGTACAACATGCATGGTCTCAATGCATCGAGTTTCAAGAATTGCATTTATATAATTTGATTACATGAAAAAATATTTATGTTCAATAACTAACTGCAACATAGTAAAACACAGAACAAAATGGTTATAATTGAAACTAACATCCATTATTTTGGTAAGCATCTAACGACAAGATAACTCTGTAATTGATACCTCATTTCTCGATGAGGGCAAAATTTCGTCATTGGAATGATCTGTAACACTTGAGAGGTCCGATTGAATGGTGCTGTGCATGAAAAATGCTGGCTGTGAAGGCACCGGAAGTGTAAGTGAGTTACTATTAAGCATGATGCCAACCGAAGCCATGGTTGGTCTGTCCACCACTTTTTCTTGAACACAGAGTAAAGCAATGTGGATGCATCTTGTCATTTCAGCTTTTGAAGAAACCATCAAAGTTGGATCTATGAGATTCACCGTTGACCCTTCCCTCCAATTTTTCCATGCCTGCAAGAATTTTTAAGAAACTTAATATTGAGGCTACTAATCTCACCAAGTTTGAAACTACTTGAATTTACGATTTTCATACTTACGTAGCTTAAAAGGTCTTCCTCGTTCTCTGCATCGAGGAAGCAATTATTTCTTCGACCCGTGATTATTTCCAAAACCAGTACTCCAAAACTAAAAACGTCAGACTTCACAGAAAATTGTCCATGTATTACATATTCTGGAGCCATATAACCACTACCAATCATCAATAAAAAACTATTATTAATTTCCCTTTGAAATATATGCGTGGGATTTTTCATAATGTAATTCGCTTTTTTGATAGATATTGTTAATTTGTAAAATTGGAAGGTTGATCACGTTACTTTGGAAATTACTTACTAGGTTCCCACAATTCTACTTGTATTGCCCTGTGTTTCATCCATCGAAAACAATTTTGCCATGCCAAAATCCGCAATTTTTGGATTCATATCCGCGTCTAGCAAAAGATTACTTGCTTTAAGGTCACGATGAATTATTCGAAGTCGAGAATCTTCATGAAGATAAAGAAGTCCTCGAGCAATTCCTCCTATGATTTTGTAACGTTGTTCCCAGTTCAATTGTTGCCGCTTTCTCGGATCTATATATAATTTACTAGTAAGAAATCAATCATGTGTATTTTCTATCACCAGCAGTGCTTTCTACGCACGTTCTAACAAAAAAAAAAAAAGTTCTGCACTACTGAATTTGAAATAAGTGAATTCAAGATTAAATGCAGCCATACCAAATATGAAGCGGTCGAGGCTTGCATTAGGTAAAAACTCATAGACAAGAAGTCTTTCAGTTCTTTCCAGGCTGAAACCAAGAAGTCGGACTAAATTTCGATGTTGAAGTTTGGCCAACAAGAGGACTTCGTTCTTGAATTCTAAATCTCCTTGTCCAGATACCCTGGCTAACCTTTTTACAGCTATATTTTCTCCAGAGGAAAGACTACCCTGAACAACATGATTGGAACAAAGTATATATACGTTAAACACTTGCATTACATCCATACTTAGGAAACAAAAATATTTAGTTTTCCTTTACCTTGTAAACGGCACCAAAGCCACCTTGCCCAAGCTTATTTTCATCTGAAAAGTTATTTGTTGCAGTTCTAATGGTGCCAAAATCAAATTGCAAAGACTCTGCACTGATAATTTCTTCATCCATAGCTGCGAGGAGCAAGTAATTATTATTACTAAAGGTTGAACTTAATATATATGGCTGAATTAGCAAGTATAAAGAGAAATAAAAAAATAATCTATTCCTATAGAATTGTTGGAAAGACGATTAATCTTACTTTCAACAGTTGCCTTCCTCTTTCTAGCTCTCAAAAAAGGTAGACGCAGATGGTAAGTATCACGACGCTGGCAGATGGAATAACGACAGCGATGACAATTCGAGATGTGTTGCTCTTATTTCCTGAAAAAAAAAAAAAGCAAACATTTGAGTTCATAACAAAACTTGCTGATCAATTAAGTCCTGAATTATAAAAAAAATAAAAAGAATAACAATTTGAAACATTGAAAAGAAACAGAAAAGGAGACATAGATATGGAGCATATATAGAACGGTTTGACTCAATAGATTTGAGGCAGAGCATAGGTGTTTTACCTGTTGAGATTGTGGTTTCATTGGAGGACGGAGGAGGAAGAGGAGGAGGAGATAGCGAGAGTGGTGGTGTAGCGAGCGAAGCATTGTAGAAAAGTTCCATCTCAAACTGCAGATTACAGCTAGTCATAAATACCCTACCTCCTTGTTTTACAGCACAACATTGTTGAAGCACTTGAAAAGATCTATCCAAGCAAGTGGTACAATCTTGCAGGGACAAATCAGGAGTGCACTGCACAAGTGCATATATTGGTTGGAAAATTGAATCTTCATCATGTCCTACTGCAAACTTGCGTAGAGAACCTCCTGATGCGGCTTCTTGTATCAGTTTAAACAGCAAATTACTCAGCGATTCATTAAAACTGACCGGATTCGTTACATTATTAGGGTTCGGTATCGGGTAAAAATAGCTACTTTCCATGACACCCAAGATGGAGCGATTTGAGTAGCGCAACACGCAATAGTCATACCTAATAGTTGCTTCCATACTTTTGGGACATCGTTTTGTTGTCTCTGTGGCAGCATTCTTTAGGCAACTAAGGCAAACATCTTGGCTAATATCTCCTCTACAAAGGGCAAACGCGTTAACTGTGTTGGAGTTTTGGCCGACAGACATATTGTAGAAGCCGTAATCATTTGCAGCTATAGAGGAGAAAGAAGACAGCAGGTTGTTGAGGTTTGCCTCGTAGGTACTGTTAGCGGTGAAGCGACCTCTATCACTTGAACAATTTTCAAATAGTGGAGACATCTGGGCGCTACTGACACTGAGAACAAGTTTAAGAGCTAAAAAGAAAAGCAGTCTTGAAGAACCCATTGCCATCATTTTAATCTAATCCTTGAAAATTGATAGAACTTCACTCTGGAAATCCTATAAAAAATTCTTTTAATTCATAAGGTTTTCTAATTATCTATGTTGAATAAGTGAACAATTTCGGCTTTGAATAACTGGAATTTTAGTTTGTTATTTGGCAGCAGTTATTGCGTGAGAGACTTACAAAATTGGGTCAATTCCTTTTGGTCCTTTCCTTTTGGTCTTTTATTATGTACTTGTCAACAAGAAAGAAACAACTTTTCCAAGGCCACCACCCGAACTTGCTTTACAAGGCTGGAAAACTGTGATAGACATGTCAGAGTCCCACTTCTCTTGTTTCAGTTTTCTATGTCTGATTTTCTGCCAATTTACACACTTTTTTCTGCTTGCTGAAATGCGTGTGGACCCTTAAACTTTCGATTCTCGTATCACTGGATTTTGGGTTGGTTCCGTCGCCTATCCAAATCTTTGTGACAGCCATAATATATCTATCTGGAAGTTGCATAGGACATTTGAAACCTTTTTTTTTTCTCACAATTTTCTCTTTGACTGAAACTGTTCTCCTTTTTCTACTCAACGTGCATTTTTGGTTCCATAGATTTAACAGATTTTTAAAGGCTAAAACAAGATAAATACTCCTAAAGCATTTTAAAACATCTGACTTCGTATTATTATTTTATTTAAATAAATTACTCAACTTTTATTTTTTACTATTTAAGTCTTTTTAAGATATGTGTAAACAATGACATGATAAAAAAAATACATATAGCCAAAAATTGTATATTTTAACAAAAAATTTTATTAATTGGTTTTATTATCAAAAATAATTATAAGAAAAAAATAATAATTAGGGATGTCAATGGATAAGATATAAAGAGGGTAGAGTATTCCTCAACCTCATTTTTAAAATTTTTTATTATATTCATTCATGTACTTATATCCAACGAGTATTTTAAATTTATCTCTATATTCATTTTTATAAATATTTAATGGGTATGATTTTTTTAACTATTATTTTTTTTCTTGTATATTTAGGTAATTTTTTATAAATATATATTTATACAATAAAATTTTATTAATTCTAATTAATCTAAAATAATAATTTATATTATTTAAAAAAAATCTATTTACTAAATATATATATATATATGATACAGGTACGGGACATGTACTATATTATTCATCTTCATTCTCAAACCCAATAAAAATTTATAATTATACACATCCACATCCCCATACTTACAATGTAATACCCATCCTCATTTTCATTTAGATAAAAAATCAGATTATTCATTGGATATAGGTAAGATTGACCGCCCTAATAATATTATAAAAAATTAATTAAAAAAGTTTCTATATTTATAGGAAAAATAATAAAAAGAATTAACTATTTGATGCCATAATAAATACTAATTAGTGAAAAAGAAATGTCTATATGTAAAAATAATAAAAAAGAGATGCTCATATATATTGGAAATTAATAAAAAAAATTAATTATTTAATACTATTATAAAAAAACAACTAGTAAAAAAGAAATGTTTGCATGTAAAATTAATAAAAAATATCTATATTTATATGAAAATTACAAATTTGATTTTAATTTACTTTTTTATGAATTTTTGTATAAATATACATATTTCCCTTTTATTGATTTTACATATAAACATATTTTTATTAATAAATATTATTATATATTATATTTATTAAAAATATATGTACATCAAAGATATTTATTATTTGATGCCATGATTAAAAATAATTAGTGAAAAATAAATGTTTATATGTAAAATTAAAAAAAGAAAATAAAATTGCTTTTATGACTTTCATTGTATATATGTTGTAAGAAAATTATACATATTGTTTGATTAAATATACATATATTTTGTTTATATGTATATATGATAATCACTTGTAATATTGAGATAGCACTTATTAAATATTAAGGTCATAAAAATAATTTTAATTTCTTATTAATTTTATATAATCATTTTTTAATAATTATTTTTTCTAATCATGTTACCAATTAAAATAAATTTGTTAGACCATTTTAAAAAAAATTTTCCTTCATTATACATTTTTGCAACGTGTATGCCACATATATAATTTTCTGTCACGTATATATTTTTTTTGCCATATAATAATTTACATATGTTCCAAAAGAGCTTAAATAATAAAAAATAAAAATTGAAGGATTTATTTAAATAAAATAATAGTACAAAAACTTATTTAGATTTTTTTTTAATACTTCAAAGACATTTTCATATTTCAGCCTTCTTTAAATTCCAAGGTTTTTTGCTGACTTACATGAATTGCAAAATAGTGAAAATGAAATTGTTGAAAAACGAGGGATACAATAGATGCTTTGAAAGCATCGTGATAAAAACCCCATTGGCGTTTTCGCTTGACTCATTGACAACTAGAACTCAGGTAAACCCAAGAAAGCTCAATCTCTTATCATTACTTGCGTATGGCATATTGACTAACTTTTTTTTCCAAAATTAATTTCTTTGACAAATTCTTGTTAATCATGCTTAAAGTATATGGTGTATCATTTTTCACGTTAAAAAACAAATTATTGTCAGCATCATAGACCAAATTTTTTTTCATAAAAAAATTAAAATGTTTCTTATACATTAGGTTCATACCGTCGTAGATACGTTAAAAAGAAATTATCAAATATATTGAAAATAAAATTTTTAAATTTTATAATAAGATTAAGAGGATAACATATATTTTTTTAAATAAAAAAATAATTAAAAATAAAATTGAAATATATGTTAAATTTTTTATATTATTTATGAAATTAAAAATTTATGCTAATAATATATTAAATATTAACTCTAAATTAAATCCATAAAAATTAGTCAAATTGATAAAAAAAAAAAAAAAAACAAGATGAGATTCAATTCTTATAGAAAATATTAAAAAAAAAATTTTAATTTCATCTTAGCAATGTGGGAAAGAACCTTTTAATTTTAATATTGCTTCGATAAAAGATTAGGCTTTTAAAATATAAATCCATAACTAAGTTGTTCAAGCTAATGGTTGGACCAACATTAATTATTTTTTCCTCCAGATTAATTCTTGGAAAAAAAAAAAAAAAAACACTAACGGAGTATAATTATTAGGCGTTGAAAAAAATGGTTTTTGGTCTCTCACACGCTTGATTGTTATTTGGGGTGCAAACAAATATATTTTTTGATAAATTATTTGTGAATATATTCAATTTTTTATCATTTATATTCGTGTATTAGATTTAATAAATAATTTTAAATAATATTTTTATATTTATTTATTAACTGAATTGAACATGAATAAAATTTTTTTAATTCATTCATATTCGTTAATAAACTCATTTAAAGTTTATTTAAAATTTATTTATTTGTTATTTATTTACTGTTTATTTATAATAATATTAATAAATTTACATTTTTATCATTTATTTTAATTTTATTTTAAGATTTATTTATATTCGTTTATGTTAATTTAAAATTTATTTGATTATGATGTATCTATTATTTATGAATATATTCATTTATATATATTCGTAGATATATTCTCTTAATATTTATAAACAAATTTATTACTTTTTTTTTACAAATAAATAAGTAATAAATTTACTTAATTTTGTGAAAAACTGAAAGATCAAATAAGAAATATTTCTTACTCGTTGAAAATAATGTTGACTAATGAGATTTTATGAAATAGTTTTATATTTTTACATAATTTATATTTAGATATATAAAGATGTGTTATTAATTAGATTAAAGATATAAATTTTACTTAATAAATTATATTAATTTATTAAAAAATTTTAAAATAATTAAAAAAAATTGTATTACTTTTAAATTTTATTTTAAGATAATATAATTATATTACACTATGATATTTGCGGCATAACATTCTTAGAAAGAATGCGTCAAATCATGGTTTTTTAATAATCTGTTGCTATCCACCATCCCCCCAAAAAAAAAGAAAAAAGAAAAAAAGAATCACATTACTGTTTCTGTCTAGAACATCAATATTATAATAGACTAGAGTATTCTCTAAATTGATAAAATTTTGAAGATAGGAAGAGAAAATATTCCACTTCAAATTTCCTATTTTCCTGTCCTTAAAATGAAATAAACCCATCAATAATTTCTTTGTGTTTTAACCATACAATGACAACATCGTTGGAAGTTTACCATGAAATGATTCATAGAATGTACAGAAAAGATGAAGGGCCTTGATTTACCACATTCTTGACGTTCTTTGTTAAATGGTGAGTTTTCCTTTTTTTTTTTTTCTTTAATCCTTTTCTTGGATTGGACGTCGTGCATCATAAACATGTTGGGAAAAAACAACTCCCACGCGTAACAACCACACACAAAATAACAAGCTCAAATCAAAAATAAAAACACACAAATATATTTGGTTCGGCCCAACTCAAAATGGCCTACTCCAAATCAAATCCACTATCAAATAAATCTTTACAATTGTGAGACTTTTAGAATGAGAAAAGTCTCCTAAAACTCCTTACTCAAAATTTAACCCAAAACCCAATTACACCCTTTAATAGCCTACTCACTTAGCTATTCTCTTGATGTCTAACTCTTTGGGGTTACTAAACTAAAACCAAAACATCTTATTTATAGGGGTGAAACCCTTTATACCTTTACTAAACTCCCGATGTGGGATACAAGACAAATTCAAACTTACTTAACTTTCGATGTGGGATTTCTAAGATTCAAGGCAAATCCCAACAAATCCTCCATTGACTTGAATCTCCAAACACTTCAACAGTATCTGCAAAGCTAACACGCTTACCTTTCTTTTTTTCTTTCATCACAGGTATTCCAGCAACTGAGCCTCCATCAAACATGTACAAGTGATTGACCCTGTTCCCTTGTAAAATCATACTACCATTCTTATACACTTTTAACCAATCATTACTACCATAAAATGTGTACCCCCGAGAAGCTAACTCACCCAAAGCAATCAAATTGTAGTGACAATTTGGTACATAC